GGGGAAAAAACCACCTTAAATTTCATATGGAACCAAAAAAAAACCCACATAGCCAAAAAAATTTAAAACAAAAAAAAAAAAAAAAAAAAAAAACACAAAGCTGGAGGCATCACACTACCAGGCTTCAAGCTATACTATAAGGCTACAGTAATCAAAACAGCATGGCACTGTTAGCAAAACAGAGATGTAGACCAATGGAACAGAACAGAGCCCTCAGAAATAATACCACACATCTACAGCCATCTGATCTTCGACAAACCTGACAAAAACAAGCAATGTGGAAAGGATTCCCTATTTAATAAGAGGGCCTGCTTTAGCTTTTTCACTGCCTGAATTTCCTCTGGGGACAATTGCAAGGGATCAGGTTCCTCTTCTAGTAACTTAAGGTACAGAATTTTTGTCTTTTAAGCATATGACTCAATCCATAATCTACAGTAGCCAGTTAAAACTAAAAATTTTTGGAGTTTTCTCTTTGTTTTAGGCAAAGACAAACCTATTATTCCCAATATTCTCTCTGGGCTTATTATCCACTTCCCTTCACTAATCAGGTGTCCTAAATATTTAACTTCTTTTTCTACAAACTGCAATTTGTTCTTAGAGACTCACAATCCCCTTTCTCATAGGAAATTAAGCAAGCTTATGTTGGTTTCCGATACTTTGGCCTTCCTTTCCCAAGAAATTAAAAGTTCATCTATATATTGTAACAACTGGGTTCCCCTGGAAGTTTAGAATTCCTCCAGGACTTTTTCTAAGATTTGACCAAATAAGTTTGGGGCTTCCGTGAAACCTTATGGCAGCATAGTCCAGTGGTACTGTTGTTTTCTCCCAGTTATAGGATTTTCTTATTTCTTTTTTTGCCTATAAACATCCAATTACTCAGCACCATTTGTTGAAAACACTATCCTTCCTCCACTTAATGGCTTTTGAATCTTTGTCAAAAATTAGTTCGAGATATTTGTGTGGGTCTAGGGTATTGTCTATTTCACTGATCTATGTGTCTATCTCTCTGCCATTACCATACCATCTTAATTGCCCTGGCATATAATATTTGGCTAGTGATATGGTTTGGCTGTGTCCCACCCACATCTCATCCTGAACTGTAGTTCCCATAATCCCCACATGTTGAGAGAAGAAACAAACAGGTGGAGATACTTGAATCATGGGGACAGGTTCCCCCATCCTGTTCTTGATAAGTTCTTTACAACAGGCTTTCCCCTTTACTCAGCTCTCATTCTTCTCCTTCCTGCTGCCATGTGAAGAAGGGCATATTTGATTCCCATTCCACCATGACTGTAAGTTTCTTGAGGTGCCCCCCACCAGTCATGCTGAACTGTGAGTAAATTAAACTTCTTTCCTTTATAAATTACCCAGTCTCAGGTATGTCTTTATTAGCAGCATAAAAACAAACTAATACAAGTAAAATTATCCCTCCCACTTAATTCCTCCTTTTCAGAAATATTGTAGCTATTCTGATTTGTTTTTCCAAATAAATTTTAGAATAATCTTGCCTGTATATCAAGAAACAAAAAACCTTGGGATTTTAATAGGAATTGTGATAAACCTGTATATCAATTTAGGGATCATTAAGTCTTCCTGTCCATGTACATAGTCATTTATAGGATCTCTGATTTCTTTCATCAGTGTTTTGTTTTCAGCATGAGTCCTGTACTGTCAGGACTCTGTCAGATTTACGCCTACGTAGTTTTTATTTTAAGCAATTATCAATGGTTTTTTGTTTTGTTTTAAGAGAGCTTGCTCTGTCACCCAGACTGGAGTGCAGTGGTGTGATCTCAGCTCAATGCAACCTCCACCTCCTGGGTTCTCCTGCCTCAGCCTCCTGAGTAGCTGGGACTACAGGCGTGTGCCACCACACCTGGCTAATTTTTGTAACTTTAGTAGAGATGGGGTTTCACCATATAGATCAGGCTGGTCTTGAACTCCTGACCCCAGGTAATCCGCCCATCTCGGCCTCCCAAAGTGCTAGGATTACAGGCATGAGCCACGGCACCTGGCCCAATGGTATATTTTTAATTTTGGTTTCCATGTGTTCGTTGCTAGTACATAAAAGTACAATCAACTTTTGTCTATTCTTTTATATTCTAAGACTGTGCTGCGTTCATTTTTTAGTTCTAGAAATTGTGCAGATTCCTTAAGACTTTTAAACCATGTTTTTCATTTCATTTTTTAAAAGTTCATTCATTCAAAAAATTGTTAGATTCGGCTGGGTACAGTGGCTTATGGCTGTAATCCCAGCACTTTGGGAGGCTGAGCTGGCAGGATCATTTGAGGTCAGGAGTTCAAGACCAGCCTGGCCAACATGGTGAAACTCCATCTCTACTAAAAATACAAAAATTAGCCAGGTGTGGTGGTAGGTGCCTATAATTCCAGCTACTCAGGAGGCTGAGGCAGGAGAATTGCTTGAACCTGGGAGGCAGAGGAGGCAGTGAGCGGAGATCACCCCGTTGCACTCTAGCCTGGGAGATAGAGCAAGACTCCATCTCACAAAAAAAAAAAAAAGGAAAAAAAATTGTTAGATTGTTTACTCTAGTGTTCTATCTGCTAGAAAAAACTAAGAAAATTAAGGGTTTTTTGACCTCATGAAGCTTAGATTCTAGAGGACAGAAAAAGGCTGTACACATACAGTAAATGAAGAGAATGGGAGGAAAAGACACAAGAGCAACTTTATGTAGGGCCTTAAAGTCAATAGTAGCCAGTTAAATTTTAAGATGAGAAGCACTGGAAGATTTAAAATAGGGTAGTAAGGCTGCTCTGCCTATGAAGTAGCCATTCTTTTATTCCTTTATTTTCTTAATAAACTTGCTTTAACGCTACATTGTGAAAAACATTAAATGAAATAGGGCCGTGAGATTAGCTTGGTGTCCACTTTAAGTCATTAAAAAATATATATATCAAAGTGGTTGGAGTCTGTTTTTCTTTACAGCTTAAAAAAAGTATATGAACATAAATTTCATAAAGTCAGGGATTATTTGTAATTACTTCATATGATAATTTATTGATCACAGTCCTCTCTAACCTGTACAATCGGTTTTCTTTTGATTCTATAAGGCGATATAAACTTCCTAAGAGAAAACTAGCCTCATAATAATGTTATTGCAGTTGGCCAACTCTAACCACTGCTTTTGGAACTGCCTTTTGTCTTTGCTTATCACAAACAAACGCGCACACACACACACACTTTTCATCTAATAGTATGATGGAAATAATAAAGACTCTAGAGTCAGGCTTTAGCATTTTTTTAACCTCTTGTGGCTTCAGTACCTTATCTATAAAATGCAGCTATTAATATCTACTTCCAAACCCTGCTTTGAGAACTAAGGATAAAGCATAATATATTGAATTCCAGGCACATGGAGGTTGCTCAGTAAATGATCATTCCCTATCCCGTGCTTTTTCTCTTTCATCCTTACCACTCAGCTCCCATTCTCAGATCTAAGATATTTGTAAAACCATGTAATTAGCAACTGAGGCCTTAGACTAAATCTTTATACAAAATTTTAAAGCCCATTACAATAGCGTCCACTAATCCAATGATTAGTGGCATGACTCACTACAACAAAACCTTCCACAGACTTCTGAAAAGATTTAAAAATAATCAAAAGGAACATGGTATTATTATAGAATTTTTAGCTAAGCTATAAAATGAAGTTGGCCACTTGCAATTGAAATCTTATAAACATAAAAAGGCGTACTATATACATAAATTTTTTTAACCAGCAGCAAACCAGGTCTATTATGACATTATGCAATTTATATTATATGGACTGAAAACTAATAGCATTATGTTCTCAGACAAATTATTTTGTTAACATTCAATTTTTCAACACCTAATATCAACAGAAAGAAGAAAATGTTATAGACAAATCAAAGTAATCTGTCAACTTTTAAATTAACCAATTTTTTTTCTTGTCTGCTTTGGAATAATCACTTCACTGCTACTATTCAGCAATCTTCATTCATTCTGTTAGTTTCTTAGCACAATGACTAATTCCAAATCTCCTCCACTCCATCTCAAATCCACGATCCTTCTTAATGCTTAATTCCTTAATATTTTATTTTCTATATTATTTTTGTCTTCCACTGTGGCACTATTCCCAGTAAAGACAAACATCTCTGTACCTTCACCTCCTGCCTATTGGATAAAGGAAAGTTCCAAAATAATTCCTGTCTTTAGCACGACTGATAGATCAATTACCTCAATTCTCTTTTATCTTCAGTAACTTCCTATAAAACAACTTGGTCGTTAAGTTCCCTTTTACCCAGGTCCTGTCTCCTCTAAACTGCTCTTCTCAAGGCTACCATAATCAACGTGTTAAATACATTACTGAAATCATGTTTGTACTTGGTAAAAAAAAAAAAAAAAAAAAAAAAAAAACACTACTTAGCAAATTGAAATAACAGAATTTTGTTCATTTTTCCACTGGACATTTTAAGTGACCTATTTCTTTAAATTTTGTCTGTATTACAGGACCTTAATGTCTAATTTCACAACTATATTAACCAAGCCTGAATAGGGGTATAGTTAGGCAATATTTTCCAATATAAAGACTTCTGATTAAAGTTTAAATTCTTATTGTGAATCTTTGGAATTTGGCATGAAAGAGAACAAGCATGATGACTGCATCTGTTCTTTCCTATTGTAAACCATCTTCCGTGTCAACATATACGTTAAGTTTTATGGTATTTATTTCGACCTGGTTTTCTGTTTTCAAAGTACTCTTTTGTATGACACAGGCATAAAAATACTTTGACTGTAATACGCCATTTTCCTTACTCTCCTCACATTTTTTTGGACAGCTTATAATTTTGATATGGTATAAAAGCTCACGAACTGGGTCTTTACTACAGGCCTGCTACTGATACTGATGGTCGCTAAATGGTAGGTACGCCATCGGTATTGCTCTTTCTTTAATAACGTCGTATTTAGGTGCACAAGCGCAACTCTAGATGAATTGAGCCAGGGCAAAGACTTCTCAATCCGAATTTTGAGTTTTCCTTACTTTTCCCCCAAATGCTCTTTTCCTCGGATTTCATATCAATAGCACTTTCTCGAGTTTTCACGAGTAACCTGACCCAGGCGGAACCTACGGAAACTAGCCGGCGAGAATCCTACAGTCGCAGCCATCTGAGCAGCGTCCACCCAGGGACGCTCCGCGCGGAAGACCGCCTGTGACTCGACACACTCTCCAGTGACGCGGAAGTGCCGCACGTGCGCGGCGGGGCGGAAAGGAGGGTCCGAGCGCCGGGGAAAGGGAATCTAAGAGTCGGGACAGAGGTGAAGGAGCAGGAAGAGAGGGAGGAAAGGAGAGGCGGTCCTTTCCGGAGGTCCCTAGGTCCTTCACTTCCTGTTTGCCGGCACTTCAAAATCCGGGTCAGAGGGTGTCGCTTCGTTTTCTTCTCCCCGGCTGATCCCGGCACCCTCCGTGACAGCGCCTCCTGACTCAGCCTAGGGCCGGCTTCTCCTCACGACCTGCCGGAGCCTGGACGCCCACACCTGACTCGGAACCTGGAGGCGCGCGTCCTCCACCCACCGGCTCGCAGCCCCGGTCCCTGAGCGCCCGCCGACGCCGCCGAGGGGGCCCGGGCTGGCTCCTCTGCGCTGATGCTAAGAGGAATCGAGGGCCCGGGGCGGCGGCGGAGTACCGGCCTCTGGCGCCTTAGGCCAGCCGCAGGTGTCGGTTCTTAAGCTCTCCAGGCTCGCCAGCTCCCGCCCCGGCTTGGATGGGTCTCCCTGCCCCATAAATGTGGCTGCTGAGGCGGCGGTGGCGGTGGCCCGTCACGCTGCTGCGGCGGCGCTCCAAGTTCACCTCCGCCCCGGGGCTCTCCTGCCCCACCTCGGGGCTGCCGCCACCTGCTCCTTATCCCCTGGCCCTGGCCTTGCAGCGTGGCGACAATGGACAAGATCCTGGAGGGCCTGGTGAGCTCTTCGCATCCGCTGCCCCTCAAGCGGGTGATTGTGCGGAAAGTGGTGGAATCCGCGGAGCACTGGCTAGACAAGGCGCAGTGCGAGGCCATGTTTGACCTGACGACCCGGCTCATCTTGGAGGGCCAGGACCCTTTCCAGCGGCAGGTGGGGCATCAGGTGCTGGAGGCTTACGCACGATACCACCGGCCAGAGTTCGAGTCCTTCTTCAACAAGACCTTCGTGTTGAGCCTCCTTCAGCAGGGCTACCACTCTCTGGACAGGAAGGACGTAGCCATCCTGGACTACATTCACAACGGCCTGAAGCTGATTATGAGCTGTCCGTCGGTGCTGGATCTTTTCAGCCTCCTGCAGGTAGAGGTGTTACGGATGGTGTGTGAGAGGCCGGAGCCGCAGCTCTGTGCCCGACTAAGCGACCTTCTGACTGACTTCGTGCAATGCATCCCCAAGGGGAAATTGTCCATCACCTTCTGTCAGCAGCTGGTTCGAACGATAAGCCACTTCCAGTGCGTGTCCACGCAGGAGAGAGAGCTGCGGGAATATGTCTCCCAGGTGACAAAAGTGAGTAACTTGCTGCAGAACATCTGGAAGGCCGAGCCTGCCACCCTGCTGCCTTCCCTGCAAGAAGTTTTTGCAAGCATCTCTTCCACAGGTAAGGGTCATTACCTTTCAGAATATCTCATAAAAATTCAGTATATGTCACTCTTGCACACATATATTCACACCATGTTTGCCTTCTGCCCTGAAAACATTCTTAAGGGTGAGCAAATCCTAATACCCTTATCCTAAATTTATTAACATTCACTACCTTATTCAGGATGTCACTTCGTACTTTAAAAACAGGCAGTGTTCCCATTTTAAAGTTTAAGAACGTCCAGGTCCAAGACCTTTGGCAGTAAACAAGTTGCTTAATTACCCAGCCTCTGCTCAAGTTATTTGGAATACTTTGAGGATGACAGCTACTGCAGAAAGCTTCCATTCATTGGTGACTAATGGTAGCATGATGTTTACCATAGTGTTTGTTGTACGTGTCTCATATTTTGTAATGAGTTTTTCCCCCATTTTTTTATTCCCTTATTTTCGAATTAATGGATTATGCAGTTTATTACTGGATTATCCCACTTAACTATAAAGTTTTTAAATACTGAGTATTTTAAATACTGAATATTTTAAAACTTCATAGTTAACTGGGATAATCCAGTATCTAGTAGACAAAGGGATACAGGTAGAAGGAGGGAAGGAATAGTACGAGGATTTAAATATTTGTTTTTGTGCCCATGAACTGCATCCTCAGAAAGCAGAGAAGGGTCACATGATACTTGCCTAGAACACGCTTTCTCGCTGAGAAATTTTACCAGTACCTCTACATCCCTTGTTCTGTCGTGGACCTTTCAAGTCTGTAGGTTGTGAGATAATACCTTCAAAACCATGTTCATTTCCGCTCTACTTGGTACAAGCATTCTGCCTCATTTATACCACCAGTGGGGACTGTCTGGCTGTTCAAAATTGAACATGTGAGGGACGTGTCCTCTTTTTATCTTAAGAACCAGAAGTAAAGGTAGAGTTTTAGCAAACATCCTATGTTCTGATGAATTTAATATATTTATGAAAAAATTACAAACGATGTATTTGCAGTATCTGAATTGCTTTTTCTTTTTTCTTATTGTAATTTTACATCTGTTGCCTATGGTGTCATGACAGTTAGGTTCCCCCAAAATTTTTTCCACTGTAGCAGGAAAGGTGCCTATTTGCTTAATTCGTATATAGTTCAACCAAAGTCCCCCCAAAGGTCACCTTAATTTCTACTTTAAGAGATTTTTTAAAATCATCCTTAGAGCAATGAAATGATTAATAGTTTCAAGTTATTTTGGAGGGTCTGAAGTGGGAATTGAAATGATACTTTATATTTCTTTATATTTCCTTTCTGATAATTGGTTTACAAGTGAATATTTTAGTGCAACAATAAATGAATAAATGGTGAAAAATTAAAGTAACTTATTGACTAACCATGGCAAAATATTTCAGTATTCTGTCTATAGTATGAGTTATCATTTCTGTTCACTCTTAATCTTTCATTCCTGTAATTTAACATTGCATGTAAATTAGAGTCTACCCATGAGGGTGTAGCATAGTAACTCCTTTGTAATTAACACCTTTGCTGCAATTCCTTTTTTTTTTTTTTTTTTTTTTTTTGGAAAGTGTTGTTCTTTTTAAATATTTGTACCTTCTTGCCATGTTCCCTTTTCTTTTTTGAAAAAACAGATGCATCATTTGAGCCTTCTGTAGCATTGGCAAGCCTTGTTCAGCATATTCCTCTTCAGATGATTACAGTTCTCATCAGGAGCCTTACTACAGATCCAAATGTAAAAGATGCAAGTATGACCCAAGCCCTTTGCAGGTACTTCTTCATGCCACTAATAATGGTAATTGTAGATTTGGGAAGAGGAAATATTTTGCATTTTGTGAGTAATGAAAAACTTATGAATGTTTAAAACTAAAATCATGGAATCACATGTATAAAGATTCTCCAAATAGATTGGAATTATTTACCTTATAGTGTTTACAGGCATTCCAATAATTCACAAATCTTTTTTCAATTCAGCTTTTTTAATTCCCAAAATATACACACATATACACATATTATACACTCAGAAGTTGGTTGGGTTATCATTATATGGTATAACTAATTTCTTTGCTCATTATTGTTTTCTCCAACCTATTTCTTTCTTCTGCGTTTTTCCCCCTCTTTCTTTCTTTCTTTCTCTTTCTTTCTTTCTTTCTTTCTTTCTTTCTTTCTTTTTCTCTTTCTTTCTTTCTTTTCTTAATTGTAAGTATATACTTTACTTTCTCTTTCAACCAGGCTCAATGGGTATTACACTCTTTGCCCTTGCCTGTTTGGATTTTTTTTCTTTCTCAGTTTTAAATAGATGATTTTGCAAGATACAGAATTCTAACTTGATAGCCATTTTTTCTTTGCATTTTAAAAATAATACTGTGTTACCTTTGGGCATCTATTGTTGCTGGTGGGAAGTCAACTGTCAATCTGATTGTTATTCCTTTGTGAGTAGTCAGCTTTTCTGGAAACTTTTATGATCTCTTTATCCTTAATGTTCTATAGTTTTATTCTTACAGTTCTAGGTATAATCTTATTTGCCTTTCTCAGCACTTTGTCACTTTTATTTAGTCATTCATTCATTTATTCAAACCACACTTATTGAGTACTTACCATGAGTGCCAGGCAGTGTTCAAAACGTCCTCAAACAAACTGATAAAAATATCTGCCTTTATGGGCTTACATTCTAGTTGGGGAGGCAGATGGTAATTTAATAACACACTTCTTTGATTCCAACATGCCTTCTAATTTCAAAGATATTTAAATGTAGAAATGCCCAGTCATTCGTGTCCTAGTTAAATTGGTATGACTTTTCTTGCCTTAGTGGTACATAAGCTAATTATGCATCTTAAAATTGATTTTGTTTTAGATTTAATTAAATATGACAAGTAAAATAATTTAGTTTGTTAGATAGTGATACATACTTGGAAAAAAAGTAGACAAAAAGAGGGATAGGAGTAGTCAGGAAGGGGGATAGATTGTGGGGAAGTGGTTTGCAATTTTAAATAAGATGGATGAAGAAGGCTTCACTGAGGTGACCATGAAGTGAAGACATGAAGGATGTGAAGAAGCAAACCTGTGGATATCTGAGGGGAAGAATATCAGTACTATTTTATAGTTCACTAATTTTCTCTTCAAAGGTGCTCATCTGTGGAGCTTAGTTACTGAGTTTCTTTATTTCAATTACTATTTTTTTCTAATTAAGGTTTTTGTGTCTACCTGTTAATATCTGCCAGTTGCTGTAGTTTAATTCTTTTCTTATGTGTGTGTATATTAAGCTAATTTAAATACAATATAAGGGATTTGGACAAAATGGTTTCTGTGCCCCTGTTATAAAATTATAAGGTGACATATAAACTGAGGTATTCATATTGGGTTCTCAGCTCCATTTGTACTAATTTCACTCTTTGTAACACAAACTCTAGGGACTTTGATTTTCTCCACATTTTCCCCCTTTTCATTGATTAAAAGGTCTTCCACTTCTAGCGTTTCTTCTTTCTTCTTGTGTTCTTAAACATAATTGAATCAATTTATCTGTAACTTTTACTTCCAATTTCGTATTGTTCATTCCCTCTTTGACTTTCAGAGATTTGTCAAAGTACTTTGTATGTTTGAGAAAACGTTGTGTAAATGTTTTTCCTGTTACGTGACCTCTACCCCCATTGCTTTTCATTTATGATGATCCCCTTACTGTATTTGGCAATCTATATTTTTATTCTCGTCTCCCTGATACCTTGGTATTCATTGTTCTTGAAATTCTTGTCTCTGACACCATACTATTAGGAATTTCTTTCTGTATCCTTTTTATTTTCTTTCTTCCCATTATTATCATCACTTTATCAGTTCTGACCTGTATATGGCTGACTTCTAAGTCTTTATGTAAAGTTCTCATTGTTCTTTTAAGAAACTCTTATCTTGTTCATGTCCTCATAATGAAACTCCTTCTGTGCCCTATTTAGCAGCAACATGCTTTTGTCAGTGTGACTGTAACAGCAATAAAGTCTCTTTCTCTTTGGAATGAATATTTTATAACTTATATTTCCTCCTGATAAAGTAGATTCAGAAAATTATCGATTTTATAGCTGGAAGTGAAATTGGAGATTAGTTAGTCCATCACTTTCATTGCATAGAGTCATAGTAGCAGATTTTCTTTACATGACATAAATTATTTAATGCTCACCACAGTCTTTTGAAATCGGTACTGTTATTGGCCGCATCTCATAGTTGAGGAAACTGAGAGGTTAAATAATGTACCCAATCTCATTCAGGTAATAAACAGTGAATTCTGTATTTGAACTTAGAGTTATGATATAGTCACCAATGAAGAAACAAACCAAAGTAGTCAAGTTTGTCACTTAGGGCCACTCACTTAAAGGCAGAACTTATCTTTGTGGACTGATGTTGGTTTTTATTTTTTTCCCTTTTTTTTTTTACTTAAGTTGACACTAATTCTAAATATCTGGTCACAAACCTATAAGCAATTTTCTACTCCATCCTTTCTTTTATTTCCTTTGATTAACATAATTAATAAGTCCTTTGGATTATTTCTTTAGGACATTTATTAAAATGACGCTTATTCTGTCCCCACTACCTTGAAGAAATCAGGCTTTCCTCTCTGCATAGTTTTTTAGTTGGTCTTTTTGCTAACTGTGGCTGACTTTTCTTCTCTCAATCATCTGGACTCCTGATTTTTGTCTTCTAATAAAGACATTGTAGTAACTTCCACTGCCAAGTTGAATGCAAATTCCACTTCTTAGCATTTAGTCGTCTTAATTTTCCAGTCTCTTCAAAAACAGTCATAGTACCCAATTTAGGATTTTTTTTTCAAGATGTATTTGGAAATTAATTTGTACCTATTTGTTTCTATGGGGAGTTGTGACTCAGCTTTTGTATTACATTTCCAGTGTTTCCTGTGTGAACCTATTTACCCATAATCTACATGAAGTAATTATTCTGATATAGAAAATGTAACTGAAAGGGATAGTGATAATTGTTTTTACCATACTCCTCCCACTTTATACCTCCCCGTGCATTATATTTTCCCAAACATAGCAGTGATCATGTTTCACAGTCATTTTCCATAATCCATAGAAATGCAAATGCAAATACCATACCAGGACCAAACAGATAATATTAAAATATGAAATAGGCCAGGTATAAGTGAAATGATAAGGAATGGGATACATAAGTACCTTCTAAAAGAGAAAACTGATCATCAACTCCAGTTGTCCATTGATGTGAGGAAACTGGAATCCAGTCTTGTTTGATGTGATTTTTCAAAAGAAGCCTGAAATCCAATTTTCTATGTGAAATTTCCCAATGTTTAAAACATTGAGACAAATATAAGGGAAGGCTGCCTATAGCCCACAAGCTGCCATGTAAAAGTGGAAATTGGTTTTATTCTCCATAAATTGTGATTAAACCAATCTTGGTGTCTTTCATAATTTTGCCAGTTTTACTATTATGGTTTTCAAGTTGCAAGTATTTTCCTTTAGCTATATAAAGAAATAGTTTCATTTATTTAATAAATTTAAGTTCTTACTCAGTGCCAGGCACTGTGCTAAGTGCTGGGAATCCAAAGATATGTAAGAGATCACTGCTCTCAAGCTCGCAGTCTAATGGAGGAGACAGGTCTTGGAGTATATGAATGGTAAGTATATAGTTCAATGTTACTTAAATAGTAAGATATTAAATCAGTATACCAGGGTTAAAAGAAAGTGTCCTGAGAATTCAAATTGATAATCACTGATACATGGTAGATAAGATTCCTATAGTTAGCCATAAAAATAGCTCATCCTACAGTGCCTGCCTGTACTGGAGAAGAAACAGACATGGGCAAGTCTGGTCAAATTGAAACAGAACTGGAATATACTTAAAATGTAGCAAAAAAAAAAAAAATGCATTATATGCTGGCAGAGTTTAGTTTAAATGCCCATACTATTATTTGATAATTGTGTGCTTGTTGACAAATTTCCTAACTTTTCTTTCCATTTTAAGGACAGAAACCATATCTTATGGTTATATTCTCAGCACCAAACACAGTACCTGCTATGTAATACACAAATATTTATTTCATGAATGCTTTCTGACTTAGTCTGTTTGGGCTACAATAACAAAATACCTTAGATTGGGTTATTTATGAACAATAGAAATATATTTCCCACAGTTCTGAAGGCTGGGAAATCCAAGGTCAAGTTGCCAGCAGATTTGGTATCTGGTGAGGGCCTGTTCCTTTAGATGGAGCTTTCTATGTATCTTCAAATGGCAGAAAGAGCAGGGGTGCCCCCATCAGCTTCTAATCCCACTCACTAGTCACCTGACAAAGGCCCCACCTCTTAATACTAACACATTGGGGTTTGATTTTAATGTATGAATTTTGGAGGGACACAAACATTCAGACCACAGCAGCTTTTGATTTGTGTACCATCTGATATGAAGTTTATTTATAGGTGGTCAGGAGATTGGCGTACATAAAATAATGTAAAGAATAAATGCTTATGAGATAGAAAGGCAGAAATGGAGAGGATGAGAAAAAGGCTGACCGAGTAATGAAGGATAGTGAAAAGCCATGGCCAAGTGGAATTTTTGTACTTTCTGTGCTCTAACCCTTTCTCAGTACTCACCTTAGACTGAGCTAAAGGGGATTCTGGCCTTGAGACCTGTATTCTGGCAAGTCCTGTTTCCTCTACGCTGACAGTGATTTCCCATGAGGCAAAGAATCCACAGAGCCAAGATGTGGTCACACATGCCCTGCCTCTAGATTATATCTTTTTTCTATGTCCATATTTACATATATATATTCACATGATTTTCTTTTAAACTAAAATTGTTTTTTATAAAAACCACTGGTATTTTTTTTTCCATCTTAATTCAACAATTTCTCAGCTCTTTCTATTTTAGACCCCTCATGGATAGATCATGTACATCTATCTTATTATTTAAAACTTTATATAGTTCCATAGTATCAATACCATAGTATCTTCAGCCATTTCCTTATTGACAATCATTTAAGTTGTTCACAGTTTTTCTATATTATAAACAATGCTACAGTGAATACCCTTGGTACACAAATGCAAGTGTGTCTCTCCTTTGCTACTCTGTATAAGTAGAATCACCACAAGACTTTATGAGAATCACCCCCACAATATTTAGAAGATGTGAAACCGCTGTCAAGGATTACTTTAATGACTTGTAACCATCATTGTTGGAAAAGGCTAGAAAAACAAGAAAGGAAATAAAATTTGTGTAGAGAATGGAGGGAATATACACATAACTTATAGTTAACATGCATTTGGACTTTGGGACTACTCTTAATGTTTGAATGGACCTTATAATCTTAAAAACAAAAACCTTAATAAAAATAACATTCTAGTGTTAATGTAGATAGTTATATAACACAACTGCTGTGAAAATAACTGTATCAATGAAGATGTCAGTCCTTTGACCAGGCGCAGTGGCTCATGCCTGTAATCCCAGCACTTTAGGCGGCCAAGGTGGGCAAATCACTTGAGGCCTGGATTTCGAGACCAGCTCAGGCAACCCCCTTGGTGAAACCCCATCTCAGAAAATACAGAAATTAGCCAGATGTGGTGACGCACATCTGTGTAGTCCTAGCTACTCAGGTGGCTGAGGAGAGAGGGTCGCTTGAGCCTTGGAGGCGGACGTTGCACTGAGCCGAAGTAATGCCTCTACAATCCGAGTAATAGAGCAAGACCACGTCTCAAAAAAAAAAAAAAAAAAAAAAAAAGATGTCAGTCATTTTAACATATTAGTTTTTATTTTAGTAATGTATTTATATCCTTAGTATTTATATTTGCATTTCGTACAATCAAGGTATTTATTTATTGACACATGTATTAACATTTGATGGGAAAGAGACATTCACAATGAGTATTTCCAGTGTTATGGATTAATTCATTTAATCTTCACAACAGTCCTGTAAAATAAGCATGTTTATCTATAATTTACAGGCAAAGAAACAGACATAGAGAGGTTAAAAAAACCTGTTTAGTATTTAAGGTCCCCTATCTAATAAATGGTAAATTGAGATTTTTAAACCAGTCACTCTGGCTTCAAAAACTCATTTTCCCTCTTCTTTTTTCTTAATGTATAATCCTAAAAATAGAATTACTAGGTCAAAGTATGTGAACATTTGCCTCAGTTGCTTTCTTTTTTCTTTTTTTTTTAAGAGACGGAGTCTCACTCTATTGCCCAGGCTGGAGTGCAATGGCAGGATCTCGGCTCACTGCAACCTCCACCTCCCAGGTTCAAGCCATTCTCCTGCCTCAGCCTCCCGGGTAGCTGAAATTACAGGCACATGCCACCATGCCTGGCTATTTTTTTGTATTTTTAGTAGAGATGGAGTTTCACCATGTTGGTTGGGCTGGTCTCAAACTTCTGACCTCAGATGATCTAGCCCCCTTGGCCTCCCAAAGTGCTGGGATTGCAGGCGTGAGCCACTACGCCTGAACTTCAGTTGCTTTCTGAAAGAGCTGTACCAATGTTCATTGTGTTAGAGATCTAACTTTGGAGAGTCTCTCTGTTGGAATCCATATTACTTTTTTTTTTTTCATTAATTTGGTTGGATATTCAAGAAAAGCACTCATTAGTGCAAAATGAGGCCAATACAGTATTTATAGACTTAGTGCTCTTTTATGTATTTGATGTTTCTTTTTGTTGTCTTTGGATAGTAGGATTTTGAAAATGCTGAAGATACCTCTTTCACAATTCAAAATAAAGTCTTTTTTAATAGTACATTTATATTAGTCTGTACTCACCAGGAAAGAGGAATCTTGATTCATATTCATATGTCTTAGTTCAGATTACATTTCAGCTGCTCTTTTTAGAGTAAATTTGCCTAATAAATTATTGATATAAGTTGAGCATCCCAAATTTGAAATGTTCAAAAATCCAGTACTTTTTGAGTGCTGACATGGTGCTCGAAGGAAATGCTCATTGGAACATTTCAGATTTCAAATATTTGAATTTGAAATGCCCAACCAGTTAAGTATATAATGCAAATAACTGAAAATCCAAACCACTTCTGGTTTCCAGCATTTCAGTTAAGGAATATTCATCCTGTGCCACTATAAAGCATAAACAAAATAAGTTATCAGAAATTCTTTTTATGGAAATATGTTGAATATGAGAAACTATCAGTTTACAAGATTGGAAACTCCATTAGAACAAGCACCTGTTACACTCATTTCTACATCCTTGTCAGTACTTTTCACCAGCAAATTCAGTAAATATTCATTCACAAAGTGAGTGGTTGTCTGCTGTAACTTTTGTTATCTCTAACTAAATGAAAATGTTTTCAATACTGATTGTTTTGTTTTCCTTCAATTTCAGAATGATTGACTGGCTGTCCTGGCCATTGGCTCAGCATGTGGATACATGGGTAATTGCACTCTTGAAAGGACTGGCAGCTGTCCAGAAGTTTACTATTTTGATAGATGTTACTCTGCTGAAAATAGAACTGGTAAGTGGGAATATGGAAATCTGTTAGAATATATGGACTCATGAAAATCAATATTTTTATCTTTGGGTGATATCCTTGAAAGCATCTAATTTTGAATATGTTATTGTTATTTTCTTTTGTCTAACAGTTTTGAATAGGCTTTAGAAATTTTTTTAAATGTCATTTAAGTATAAGTAATTAGGCTGGGCATTGTGGCTCATGCCTATAATCCCAGCACTTTGGGAGGCTGAGGCAGGCAGATCACTTGAGGCCACGAGTTCAAGACCAGCTTGGCCAACATGGCAAAACCCCATCTCTACTAAAAATACAAAAATCAGCTGGGCATGATGCTGCATGTCAGTAGTCTCAACTACTTGGGAGGCTGAGGCACAAGAAATCACTTGAAACTGGGAGGCAGAGGTTGCACCACTGCACTCCAGCCTAGATGACAGAGCAAGACTCTGTCTCAAAAAAAGAAAAAAAAAAGTAATTAAAGCAATTGTTTTATTTTCAAATATCCAGTACAAAAACATTCTTTCCATCATCTCTTGAATCCAACTAATCAAGCTTTTACCACTATTACTCTACCAATGCTTTCCAGTGTCGCTAAACTCGAATCATTTCTCAGGCCTCTTCTCATTTGACCTGTCAGCAATATTTGACATAGTCAGTCACTCCCTCTTGTTTCCAGGACATTATACTCTCTTGATTTTTGTCGTCCTTTACAGGCATATCAGTCTCTTGTACTTACTCTTTCTAACTTTTAGAATACCTTACAAGTCAGTCTTTGGTCCATTTTCTTATCAGTGTGTAATCACAGCATAGGTGTTCCATGGCTTTAAATAACATCCCTAATTTGATGACTGCCAGATTTGTATTTTTAGTCACCCCTGAACTCCATATTCATGTGTCCGTCTGTCTTTACATGGATCTCAGATTCACTTTATCCACAATCTTACTCATGATTTTTCTCTCCCAGACTTGATCTTCCCATCTTAATAATGGCTACTCTATCCTTTCACTTGCTCAGGCCAAAAACCTTGAAGCTATTCTTACCTTTTTTAAATTCTCTCTCAGCCCATATTCTACAAATTCTACTGACACCACCTTTATGATATATCTAGAATCCTACCACCCTGATCCTACATCATCTCTTGCTGCAAGGTTGCAACAGCCTTCCTGCTCCTGTCCTTGGTCCCCTGTACTTGTCACACAGGTCCTATGTGTTCTGGCCCACTTCTTCACTAATCCCATCTCCCACTGTTCTTACCTCGGTCTCTTGCTTCACTTACACTGACCTTTTGCTTCATCTGTAGCACATCAGCCTGAAGGCCTCAGGGCCCTTGCAATCCTGTTTGCCCTGCCTATAATGCTCTTGTCCCAGATATTTGCCAGGCTTATTCACTCCCTTCAGTTTTATAGTTAGATACCACTTTTTTCATGAGCCATTTACTGAATGCTATATAAAACAGCAGATCTTTTTGCTACGTAGCATTCCGTTTATCATACCCTGCTTTAAATTTGTTGATAACACTTACCACCATGTGTTACTTTTTATTGTTTCTACCTACCCTCTAGATGATAAACTCTGTAAGATAGAGATTTTTTTTTTTGATCCACTGTTGTAGCATTAGTTCCTAGAAGTAGGATGAGTAATAGCATGTGCTTAACAAATATTTGTCGATTGAATTGAATGAATGGTGGACTAGGGAGCTATTGCCTTGTAAACATAGTTTGACAAATTTTTATTTAATTGGAGAGTTTTAACAATTGGTTAGGCCAGTTACATTCCCCTTGATCTCTGTTGCATTGTTATTTCCTAACTTCATCCTTCTCTCAAAGTTTAATACCGTAAGTTATGATAGAACTTTCCAGAAAGGGGACATTCATATAAATAATTTTTAGCCCCAGAAAAATAGCCACTGTTAGATTAATGATTTTTCTGCAAACTCTTAAGATGGTGTCTTGTCTTATTTTGAAGGTTTTTAATCGACTTTGGTTTCCTCTTGTGAGACCTGGTGCTCTTGCAGTTCTTTCTCACATGCTGCTTAGCTTTCAGCATTCTCCAGAGGCGTTCCACTTGGTAAGTTATGACATTAGCTTTCTATTTAGTTTAATATTGAGTCACATTTTTACATACTGAAAATATTGCAAATTAGTCCTAAATCTGTTTTCATATTGCTTTATGATTTCCTAGAAAATTGAAATTGTGAGATTTCCCTCCAAGGAATATATTTTTGTATCTCCTTCAAACTACTCCACTTGCAACAACTACCAGCAGTTGAGAGTTACTGTTCACATGGGAGATGTCACTGATGGATGTCTGTTGCACATGTGAGCAGTATAGGAGGATTCAAATGATTAAAAACCACTGCTTTAGAATTTGAAAAGCATGAAAACACACCAGTCTTTGGTTTTACAGCCTCAGTATTCAGGCTTTTCATTTACTGTCAGCCTGCATCCTACAAATCCTGTTGACACTACCTTTAAAATATATCTAGAATCCTACCACTTTAAGCCAGCTGAATCATTGGCTTTGATTTGATTTCAGTTATTTGATTATCAGTTACTGCAGTTGGGAAATGACAAATTGTTATTTTGGCCAACTGTCCATTTACCACTCTAGGGCATCATAGGAAAGTAGTGCCTTTGTGTGGTTACTTACTTTTTCCAAAGTCTAATCCTGTTTTATAAGACTAGAAACTGATTGTCAATAAACCCACAGTGGAAAAATCTTAGGAATACTGACTTACCATAAACTTCAGAGAAGACTGATGAAGTTCAGAATTCCAGTTGTTTATTTTTAGCTAGAATATATTCACATAGGTTGCTCAGTGCCCCATTTCTACTGAAGGAAAATCCACAGGCTTTGTAGTAAGTAAACCTTACTAGCAAGTAATTACATTATACATTACCACTTAGGGTGAGTGATTTCTACAGTTAATTGCCCAAATTTTGGTGAGTTTAAATCATCAAGCAATAACCTTATATATGTGTATAATATAAACAAAACTCAAACTTGAACTAAGATAGCAGGTGTACTAGCAAAGTCTTCCAAGAAAAAAAAGCATCAATTGTTTGTCCTTGTCTTCAGGCACAATCATGTGTAAGACATTTGAGAAAAGGCTTTGTTTTCCACATTTCTTTTTTTGTTTGTTTTTTTTTACTTTTATTTTAGATTCAGGGATACACGTGAAGGTTTGCTACATAGGTAAACTCATGTCGCATGGGTTTGGTGTACAGATTATTGCATCAACCAGTTATTAGTACCCAGTTGTTATCTTTTCTGCTCCTCTTCCTCCTCCCACTCTCCACCCTCAAGTAGACCTTAATGTCTGTTGTCTCCTCTTTTGTGTTCATGAGTTCTCACCATTTAGCTCCCACTTACAAGTGACAACATGGGGTATTTGGTTTTCTGTTTCTGCATTAGTTTCCTAAGGATAATAGTCTCCACCTCCATCCTTGTCTGCAAAAGACATGATCTCATTATTATGGCTGCATAGTATTCCATGGTATATATGTACCTCATTTTCTTTATCCAGTCTGTCACTTATGGGCATTTAGATTGATTCCATGTCTTTGCTATCATGTATAATGCTACAGTGAACATTCCCATGCATGTATCTTTATGGTAGAATGATTTATATTCCTCTCGTTGTATACCCAGTAATAGGATTGCTGGGTCGAATGATAGTTCTGCTTTTAGCTCTTTGAAGAATCACCATACTACTTTCTATAATGGTTTAATGAATTTTTACTCCCACCAAGTGTATAAGTGTTCCCTTTTTTCTGAACACCAGCATGTCTTCTTTTTTGACTTTTTAGTGATAGCCACTCTGGTATGAGATGGTAGCTCATTGTGGTTTTGAGTTGCATTTCTCTGCTGATCAGTGGTATTGAGCTTTTTTTCATAAGCTTGTTGGCTGCATGTATGTCTTTTGAAAAGTGTCTGTTCATGCCCTTTTCCCACTTTTTAATGGGGTTGTTTTTCTCTTGTAAATTAAGTTCCTTATAGATGCTGGATATTAGACCTTTGTCAGATGCATAGTTTACAAGTATTTTCTCCCATTCCATAGGTTGTCTGTTCACTCTGTTGATAGTTTATTTTGCTGTACAGAAGCTCTTAAGTTTAATTATATCCCATTTGTCAATTTTTGCTTTTGTTGTCTTTGTCATGAAATCTTTGCCCATTTCTATGTCCAGGTTGGTATTGCCTAGGTTGTCTTCCAGGATTTTTATAGTTTTGGATTTTACATTTAAGTTTTATCCTTGATGTAATGAACATCAATATAAAACTCCTCAACTTGCCAACCAAATCCAGCAGCACATCAAAAAGCTAATCCACCATGATCAAGTAGGCTTCATCCCTTGGATGCAAGACTGGTTTAACATATACAAATCAATCACATAAACAGAACTAAAGACAAAAACCACATGATTATATCAATGGATGCAGAAAAGGCTTTCAGTAACATTCAGAATCTCTTCATGTTAAATACTCTCAATAAACTAGGTATTAGAGGAACATATCTTAAAATAGTAAGAGCCATCTATGACAAACCGACAACCAACATTGTACTCAGTGGACAAAAGCTGGAAGCATTCCCCTTGAAAACCAGCACAAGACAAGGATGCTCTCTCTCACCACTCCTATTCAACTAGTATTGGAAGTTCTAGCCAGAGCAGTAAGGCAAGAGAAAGCAATATAGAGCATCCAGATAGGAAGAGAAGAAGTGAGACTGTTTGTAGATGACATGTTTCTATATCTAGAAAACCCCAAAATGTTCTACAAATAGCCCAAAAGCTCCTTCAGCTGATAAACAACTTCAGCAATGTCTCAGGATACAAAGTTAATGTACAAAAATCACTAACATTCCTACACACCAAGAGCAGCCAAGCAGAGAGCCAAATCAGGAAGGCAATCCCATTAACAATTCCCACAGAAAGAATAAAATATTTAGGAATACAGCTAACCAGGGAAGTGAAAGATCTCTACAATGAGAAAGACAAAACAATGCTCAAGAAATCAAGAAGATACAAACAAAGGGAAAAACATCCCATGCTTATGGATGGGAAGAATCAATATCATTAAAATGGCCATACTGCCCAAAGCAATTTACAGTTGCAGTGCTATTTCTATCAAACTACCAATGAGATTCTTCACAGAACTAAAAAAACTATTTTAAAATTTGTATGGAACCAAAAAAGAACCTGAATAGCCAAGGCAATCCTAAACAAAACGAACAAAGCTGGAACCATCACATTACCCACTTCAAATTACGCTACAGGGTTGCAGTAATTAAAATAGTGTGGTACTGGTACAAAAACAGGTACATAGACCAATGTAACAGAATAGAGAGCCCACAAACAAGGCTGTACACCTACAACCATCTATCTTGACAAAGCTGACAAAAACAAGCAATGGGCAAAAGGCTCCGTCTTCAATAAATGGTGCTGGGAAAACTGGGTAACCATATGAAGAAGATTGAAGCTGGACCCCTTCCTATACTGAATACAAAAATCAACTCAAGATGTTTTTTAAATTTCTAGGAAGGAGATTCTGACTTAACTTTATCATTCATTCTAATGTTTATTGTCCACATTGAGGATATTCCTTTTTCTAGTAGTGGGAAATGTGGTAGTTAAATCACCTATAACTCCAAATAGCTCAGTAAATGACTTGGGCTTAGGAATTGCTAAGTATGAGCAATAATCTGGAATCAGCATCATCATAATTTCTTATATGTTAAGGACATCTTAGGGCAAACCAAGATTTATGTTAGAATATGTGGTGTTATGGGTCAGGTTGCTTTTCTTATGCATTTTGCCCACTGAAAAGAATTTATTTTAAACAGACACTATGGCAGATAGCAATAATGGAGGAAGAAAAAAAATCAAAGCTTTGAATTAAATAAGTTTTATACATTCTCTTAAAAAAAGTTTACTATTATAATGTCAAGAAACATTTAGGTTCACTTATTCAAAAAAATCAACTTTCATATATTTAGACAATAATAGCCTGCTTGGAAGTGCATCTGTATAACTGTGAAAGACTAAGTCTTACTTCCATGTTGTGATAATCTTGACCATTTAGGATATAGTAATAGACAAACCATATAACCTGATTACAAAGACCAAATCTGTGTCTGACAGATTTGGAATTATAAATTTAATAAACACTTCTAAAATTTTTGCCTCTTCAGTCTCTCTTCACCTTTGAAAAAAACAAATAATTTTGGATTTCTATTTTAGCAAGAGAGTATCTGATAGATGTGGCTTTATGAGATGTAAGTATAATTCACATTTGCTTAGAAATGTAGAGATTATAGCAATAGAATGAACTCACTAGGAACTGGTAGTTTTATGGTCACATCAATACTTATGATGGCAGTAAGATAAAAGAACGTAGTGCAAAAGTTACAGTGTGATTTAAGTACAAAAGTAAAGCCAGACAGAGCAGAATGGAAATAGCACTATTAATGTAAGACTATGATTGTTCTTTTTGTGAGAAGGAAAAGGAATTGATGGGTTATTACTATCATTGTAGTTATTGCTGTTTGATGATATGGCCCTAGTAGAGTTATAACTTTGTTTTTTACCACGAGTTAGCAACCCCAAAATGTTCTACAAATAAAACAGAAGATATCTTTTACCATAAGAAGTGTAAATATGTAGTATCAGGTTATAATTAAAAATTAATTGAAAAAAATATAGTATCATGCTAATGGAATGAGCCATATCTATAAAATAGAAGTTGTTTCATTTTAATAACCTATTGAAGATATGATTGGCCCTGGATTGGTTGACTTTTTAGTTTAATTTTATAATTAAAGAAGATTATGCTGATGATCAATTTTAACAATGTTCTATATGTTTACGAGCAATGATCATTTTTTATTTGACTTTTATTTTTAGCCCTAGTTCTTTAAAACTAACAGCAGCTTCTGATGTCCTTTATTTTTAGAATGATCTCATTTTTTGGAGGGTGGGAAATGGGATTTGTTAGTAAGAAAGCCACTCTAACATGAGTGTATGTCTTATGTCAGGTAATAACATAAGCATAAGCATATGTCAGGTAATAGGATTACTTTTAGATAAGCACAGAGACCTTGCCGTGTTCTGTGTGCTTATCAAAAAACAATCCTATTTCCTGAGCTGTAATTTTAGTTACATGTGTAAAGGTTTTCTTGAAGTAGACTTTAACATGCAATGTACTTTTGATTCTTTCAAGTGAAAAATACTTAATTCACACTAGATGGAGCTCTTTAGCTAATTCTAGGATTATTTTTCAAAAGTTTATCCTCATTGAATGATCTAGTAAATACAATAGCCCTAACGCTTTCAACCTACAGCATTTTCCAAAATGGCAGCAATTACTAAGATTTCTATTTTGTACCTTAGTTTATGTTTTAGATGGTGTGTAAGGAAGAGGAGGGAGTCATATATGGGATTACAGTCATATGTGACTGAAAACTAGATTTTCCTTGATATTTTAGAAACATTTAACTTCATAAAAAAACTCTGTAACTGAACATACAGAAAAATATTTGCTGATCATAACATTTGTATTCTGTTTGTATGATAGAGAATGTGTTACCAATTTGTATAAATTCAGCACTGTTTGTCCTTTGTTCTCTTCAGATTGTTCCTCACGTGGTTAATTTGGTTCATTCTTTCAAAAGTGATGGTCTGCCTTCCAGTACAGCCTTCTTAGTGCAATTAACAGAACTGATACACTGTATGATGTATCATTATTCTGGATTTCCAGATCTCTATGAACCTATTCTGGAGGCAATAAAGGTATAATGATAGTTGTACCAGTATCTGTAGAGTTGTGTTATATTAATTTGATGAACATTGTTATAACCGGCTGTGCAATTTACTATTTTACGGTAATAATGCTTTTTGTTTGAAAAACGCAGTTAGAATCAGGTTTCATTTATGTTTAGGGAGTAACTGCTTTCTTGCTGCTATCACCATTCTAAATTAATAACCGTATTTTCTCATTTCTGCAGTGTCATCAATTGTAAGGCATAGCTTTAAATTTATAATATCTTTAAGGGCAATTTGTTTAAAAAGAAATGCTACATCAAGTTAATGCATACATCAGATTTGCACCCCAATATTAGAAATGTTAAAGTATGTGTAGAGTACATCTTGGAATATAGGAAATGGAGTTCAGTAAAATATTTGACTTTGATTTCTTCCCCTTTTTAATGCTTCTTTTTTTTTAGTTTTTGAGACTGAATCTCACTCTGTCGCTCAGGCTGCAGTGCAGTGGTGCGATCTTCGCTTACTGCAACCTCTGCCTCCCGGATCCAAGCGATTCTCCTGCCTGAGCCTCCTGAGTTCTAGGACTACAGGGGCCCACCACTACACCTGACTAATATTTGTATTTTCAGTTGGGGCAGGGTTTCACCATATTGGCCAGGCTGGTCTCAAACTCCTGACATCAAGTGATCCACTCGCCTCGGCCTTCCAAGGTGTTGGGATTACAGGCATGAGCCACTGCACCTGGCCCCCTTTTTAGTTAATTCTATTTTTGCTGTGGATTGTTCATGAATGTTTAGAAACTTCGTTTGAATTATTTGTGGAGTTACACTGTTTTTCAGCTTTATATGGAAATGGATCTAAAAAGCACTTTTTTTGGTGGGGGAACAGTCTTGCTTTCTTGCCCAGGCTGAAGTGCAGTGGCATGATCATGGCTTATTGCAGCCTCTACATCTTGATGTCAAGTGATCCTCCCATCTCAGCCTCCCAACTCTTTGGGACTACAGGTGCGCACCACCACACCAGGCTAATTTCTTATTTTTCGTAGAGACCGGGTCTCACTATGTTGCTCAGGCTGGTCTTGAATTCCTAAGCTCAAGTGATCCTCAGCCTCCCGAAGTGCTGGGATTACAGGCATCAGCCACTGTGCCTAGCCTAAAAAAAAACATTTCTGTGTGGAAGAATGGATCACAATAAACATACTTTACTCTTAGTAAACTTACTGCATAATCAGTGTATATAGCAAAAGAATTGGAGAACTGAACTCAGTCAAACTTAACCAGAAATTAATAGAAGTCAATTCTATTGTGTTTTTATTTGAGATATGAATTTCAATATAAAGGTCTTATTATCTTTACTTCCGTATCTGAGATGGATTTAAAGCAGTTCTTTTTACTATATCATTAACTATATCATTAATAAATCAAACTTATTTTGATTGAGCTCAGAACACAAATACTTAAACAATTAATGTATATTGCTGGTGTGACACTGACACTTTAAAAGTAAATTATGTACAGGAGCATTGTGGAGTTGATTTGATGGTAATATGCATCTCTTTCAACATTGTCACTGGATCCATAGGTGATAGTTGCTGCACTTGTTAATTGATTACCATTCTTTGTTTATGAGAGTTTTTATGTTGAAAATTCTGATAACTCATACAGGCTCAGAAGAAACAAGGGGCTCACTCTAAGCCCAAAGAAAACACTTTTTCTTAGTTGTCAAAAAAAAAAAAAATCAGGAGATTGAAATTCCTTCAGAAAATGTTTGTTTGCTAAGATCTAAGTGCTAAATGCTAATAGCAGTCCAGATAAGTCCTAATGATTTTACCAACTTTCCTTATTCTTCAGTACTCTATTCATGCTCGAAATAATTTACACTTAAAATGTTATTTCATATTTCACAAAGGTAATAAGAAAAATCCATATGTTGTAATAATTTTCTATGTGGGTAACATGAGATTAAGTTTTATTTTCTTAAAGTTAAAAGTCATTGTGCATTGATGCTTTCATTTCTCATTTCTTAATTTGGGATTTTATTTCTAAGAGTTAACACTGAGTAAATATTAGTATTTAATGAAAAGGAAACATTTTATTACAAAATTTGAAAACCAATTGTTTGCTTATCTTGTTTAACTGAGAGCTAAAATTTAAGTCTTCATTCTGCTGCCTTTGAATAGCACTGACCTCAGACTTTTATAGACATTTTGCTGGCATATAGAGAATATAAATAGTTCAAATGTAACTTGAATTTCTGGCTTTTGAGTATTCTTCAACTTGATAAACTCTGTTATTAGAAGGTATTTATTTTTGCCTTGCAATGAAATTTGATATTTTGATGACTAGCCAAGTACTATCAGTTACTACAAAACTAAGTTGGGGGAAAGAAAGTTCAAATGTCAGTGTAAGAATCTTCTTAACGGTGTTAATTAATTTAACAACGAAAATAGTTTTTACTTTACTTTTAAACTGTTTTTCTTCTTTATGATCTATAGGATTTTCCTAAACCCAGTGAAGAGAAGATTAAGTTAATTCTCAATCAAAGTGCCTGGACTTCTCAATCCAATTCTTTGGCATCTTGCTTGTCTAGACTTTCTGGAAAATCTGAAACTGGGAAAACTGGCCTTATTAACCTAGGCAATACATGTTATATGAACAGTGTTATACAAGCCTTGTTTATGGCCACAGAGTAAGTTTAAATTTGAATCTTTTTAACTGTAAGAGTTGATGCATGCTAATGAAATATAAGATGATAGAATTGTTTCCACATTATTCCTTATAAATGGCATAAATGTTAACGTTTCTTATATTGCCTTATTCAGAAACGAAACTGCTTTTAGTGCCCAGAAACCATGAGAATATTAACATTAGGCTGGGTATGGTGGCTCACGCCTATATTCCCAGCACTTTTGGTGGCCGAGGTAGGTGGATCACTTGAGGTCAGGAATTCAAGAGCAGCCTGGCCAGCATGGCGAAACCCCATCTCTACTAAAAATATAAAAATTAGCTGGACGTGGTGGTGAGTACTTACAATCCCAGCTACTTGGGAGGCTGAGGCAGGAGGATCACTTGAACCCAGGAGGCAAAGGTTGTGGTGAGCTGAGATCGTGCCATCGCATTCCAGCCTGGGTGACAGAGCAAGATTCAGTCCCAAAAAAAAAAAAAAAAGAAAATGTTAGCATTAATTCTGCTTATTATTCATTGCATTTAAATGGCACTTTAAAAATTCTAATTTTTTAATAGTGTAACAGAAGGATTGATTGCACCTATTCCAAACAGTTTAAGTATACTAGAGTACTTCATTGTTATCCTGTGAGACTGTCATTTTTTTTAACATATTTAAATGTGTTTTGAGGGAAGTCATATATAATTTTATCTGCCTGTTGGTACTTTCATGCTTATCAGATCAACAACTTTGTTGCCGTTTATGAAGTTTAAGTTCTGCTTCTAACCCAGGACAATAATTACTGAACACATGTATATAAACAGACATGATCTTTTCCCCTCTTAAAAATTTTCTTTCGAATCCATTTTCTTTTGCAACTAAGCAAATAGGAAATCAGGGTCGGGCACAGTTGCTCACACCTGTAATCCCAGTACTTTGCGAGGCTGAGGCGGGCAGATCACAAGATCAGGAGATCAAGACCAGCCTGGCCAATATGGTGAAACCCTGTCCCTACTAAAAATACAAAAAATTAGCCGAGTGTCGTGGTATGCACGTGCCGGGCATGGTGAGCCAAGATTGTGCCATTGCACTCCAGCCTGGGTAACAGATTGAGACTCCATCTCAGAAAAAAAAAAAGAAAGAAATCAGAATGCTATTCCAGTTATGTAAATGCTATCTGCAAAGGTACAAAATAATGATAAACTTTTCCGGAAGACAAAAACATGGTTGAATTTTTCTCTTGAATACCAATAAAGTATTCATGGAACTTGCCCAAAGAGGTTTACAAATTGAGTTGTAAGCTTTTCCAAGTTGTTATGCCTGCCGAAAGGAATCATACACTATGAAATGTAGAACTCGCTTTATTTTTGGGCCCCAGATTATAGTATCAGCACTCATGTGTTTTTGGTTTAGCTTAGCATTTAGTTTTTTGATTTGTTTGTATTTGGAATTTGGGAAGGTTTTATTTTTGTTTTTTTAAGAAAATGTGTACCTTTAGACACAAGTGATACTAGGCTTAAGACTGAAAGAATCCCTTTCTTACCACCAGAGGTCATCTAGTCCAGACATCTCCTTTTACAAATGACAGAGAAAACAGACACCCAAAGCAACTGTAACTGGCAAGAGCAAATAGAAGTTATATCTTAATGACCAATGGCCAATGATATTATCTCTGAATAGGAAGACAGCATATTTTATTTCTTAAGTATTATATGAATTCTTCATAGTTTAAAAATAATTAAATTTTAAAGTATATAGAATAAAAATCAGACACTCCCATTTCCAAAAGTAATTTGTTAAAAGTTTGCATTGTTTCAGACCTTTTTTGGTACAGTTACATGTTTGTGTCTAATGTGAAAACAAATGCATTGTTTTTTTGAGAAAATTTGCAGAGAATCCTAATTATATAATCTTTTCCAGCCACTTGCTTTTATCATTTAATAATTTGTATTGGAAATATTCCTATGTTAAGGCAATACAGATCTGTGTCATTCCCAGTAAATGTGTATGCCATCATTTATGTAGTAATACTCCTATTGATGAATATTAGATTGTTCTGCTTATAATTAACATATCTCTGCCCTTATACAGATATAGGGGATTTTCTTTGAATATCTTCCATATCTTGCATATCCTTTGAATATCTTTCAACTTGCTTTCCAAAAAAGCTGTAGCATTTTGAACTCTGATGCTAATATAAAATTCTACATAGACCCTTTACCTTTAGCAGCAAAACAATCTTTTTAATTTTTTGCCAATATGAAGAAAAAGTCTCTGTTTTAATTTGCATATTGCTGCTAATTGTAGAGTTTTTCCCTCTGTTATTTTTGTTTATTCATTTGTGTTTTTCTTCCAAATAATCTGTTCTTTTTGTACATCTTTTTGTTGGGCCTCTTTTGTTTTTCTGTTGATTTATATATACCCTGGATGATCATCCTTTGCTACATGCTTTTTTTGAGTCACAGTTCAAGTTTATGGGGTGTTTTATTTATGATTATTTTACGTATTCCAGTCTTCCACTTTTCATTTATATTATCTGGACTTTAGAAAACCTTTACTCTAAATTTGTTCTTTCTTCATTTTAATGACTTCAGTAGTTTTATATTTTATATCTAGCTCATTAGTCCTGTGATATCTGTGATGGTGTATAATCTTATCTAACTACATTTTTTACCAAATGGACACCCAGTTTTCCCTTTGCTTTTTTTTTTTTTTAAGTAGTTTATCCTTTTCCCATGCTATACTCTTGAAATCACTTTATAGTGCATTTTAATGACAGCATATTTTTTATTTCATGAAGATTTGAAAGGATTTAAGTTGTTTACTTATGTTATAAATTAATGGCTTAACCTACTTCTATTTGCTAATCCAGAAAATAGAAATAATATGTTATAGCACATAGGCCATTAACAGGCTATATAGTAAGTGTTAGTTTATTGTCATTCCCCCCTCCTCCTTTACTGTAGTACAGGTAGATAACTTCCGCAGGTAAATGAAGTTTTACTTTAAGGGTAATAAATTCATGAACTAACTTGCTTTTAGCTTTTAAGAAATGCTTTTAAATGGCTAGGCACAGTGGCTCATGGCTGTATTTCCAGCACTTTGGGAAGCCAAGGTGGCTGGATCATTTGAGGCCAGGAGTTCGAGACCAGCCTGGCCAACATGGTGAAACCCTGTCTCTACAAAAGTCACAAAAATTAGCTGGGCACAGTAGCATATACCTGTGGTCCCAGCTACTTGAGAAGCTGAGGCACGAGAATCACTTGAACCTGGGAGGCAGAGGTTGCAGTGAGATGAGATTGTGCCACTGCCCTCCAGCCTGGGCAACAAAAGGAAACTCTGTCTCAAAAAAAAAAAAAAGCTTTTAAAAAATGCAAGTGTGTGTATACACATATAAATAAATCATTATATTCTCTTTCAGTTTCAGGAGACAAGTATTATCTTTAAATCTAAATGGGTGCAATTCATTAATGAAAAAATTACAGCATCTTTTTGCCTTTCTGGCTCATACGCAGGTGAGTGTGTATCTGCATAAAGTATGTTTAGGTTAACTGCATGGTAATATTCATTAAACTTTACATTATACCTTTTTAACTGATGAAATAATATATTAGATATCTCACCCAGTACAACAAATCCTTAGAAATGCTAAAGAGGTACTGCCTAAAATATGTACATATCAGGATATGCCCTAAGTTTCTATATTTTTCTCTTGCTTCCCATTTTTGTAGCTGAATATTATGCTGACCCATTGATCTAGAAATTTTTACAAAGAAAATATGACTTTCTATCCAATAAATAAGCTCCTTCATGAAGAATTATTTTTAAATGCATGATTGTTTCCTGAATCTAAATTAATAGATTTGTACAATAATGAGCAACTAAAATAATATTGTGGTGCCTGGGCTTTTTTTTTCTTTTCTTGTATATACCCATTCATTATAAATAAAGATCCCTGCAGTTCTGTTTATCTGATAAGTTCCAGAACTTAAACTTTCGTGGTGATCTTTCATGTCCACACATTAATCCATGGTAATTAATTTATGTTAATGGCACCAAGGTGGTCATATATAGTAAATATTTACTCAACAGACATTTATTAAGAGACACTATATGCAGTCAATGATAAGCATTAAGAGTCTTTATGTTCAAAGAACTTTTAGATTAGGTTTTGAGCCTATATGCATGAATAATATATATATCATTTATTTATAATATATATGATTACTTTTCTGGTTTTACTTTCATTGCCTTTATCTCACAGCAGTCTGAAGGAGTAGTAGTTAGAGCCAGAAGAAAAAAATAGGTTGAGAATTGATGGGATTCAATTGATGGGAATGCTTTTGTTTTCATTCTACAAGCTGAGAAATATCTCAAGTATAACTTCTTAAATGGAAAGAATCTAGACAGGATTGATATGAGATGATAGTAATGGCCTATGAGTAATTATACTCAGATGATTTTATTATTCTTTATCTGGGGGAAGTATGTTCACAAATTAAATTTACCATATCAAGACCAGGGGACATTAAATGAAAACTATCTCCTTCTTCACTCCCCTGTTGTTTCCTTGTAAATTGATTGTTGTGCTTTCTTTATCACTAGTCTGTATTTATTATACATAAAATATATATGTATATGTATATGTAGGCAGATATATACTGTATTAACTTACTAAATCAGAGCTATTAGAAAAAAAAAATCTTAGGGGAAGTTTCCCTGCTCCTCCCAAGAAAAGAAAAGTAGAAATTAACAAGAGCCTGATTAAAGCAGCCTGACAGAGATTATCTTAGGCAGATGGATTTTCCCATGTAATTGAAAAGTCCTTTTTTCTTATAATTAATAAAGGCAACATTTATTGAACATTTACATTTTTTTAGCTCCTAGTCTAAATGTTTTATGTCTTAATCATCAAAAGGAGTCTATCAGGTAATAAGGTATGTCCTCATTTTACAGATAAAGAAAACAGGTTTACATTACCTGTTCAGGGTCATGCAAATGAGCAGCTGGATTGAGATATGAACCAAACAGCTGTGAAGCCCATGTAGGCTAAACTTCCTTCCTTTAGAATACTATAAAAAGCCTTAATTTGGGTAAAATTTTTTGTTTTTTTTTTTTCTTTTTATTGCATTTTAGGTTTGGGGGTACATGTGAAGAACATGCAAGATTGTTGCATAGGTACACACATGGCAGTGTGATTTGCTGCCTTCCACCCCTTCACCTATATCTGGCATTTCTCCCCATGCTGTCTCTCCCCAACTCCCCACGCCCCGCTGTCCCTCCAGTATTTCCCCCCAACAGACCCCAGTGTGTGATGCTTCCCTCCCTGTGTCCATGTGTTCACATTGTTCAGCACCCACCTGTGAGTGAGAACATGCAGTGTTTGATTTTCTGTTCTTCTGTCAGTTTGCTGAGAATGATGGTTTCCAGGTTCATCCATGTCCCTACAAAGGACACAAACTCATCGTTTTTGATGGCTGCATAATATTCCATGGTGTATATGTGCCACATTTTCCCTGTCCAGTCTATCGTCGATGGGCATTTGGGTTGGTTCCAGGTCTTTGCTATTGTAAACTGTGCTGTAATGAACATTTGTGTGCATGTGTCCTTATAGTAGAACGATTTATAATCCTTTGGATATATACCCAGTAATGGGATTGCTGGGTCAAATGGAATTTCTATTTCTAGATCCTTGAGTAATTTTGGCCACACTGTCTTCCACAATGGTTGAACTAATTTACACTCCCACCAATGGTGTAAAAGTGTTCCTATTTCTCCACATCCTCTCCAGCATCTGTTGTCTCCAGATTTTTTAATGATCGCCATTCTAACTGGCGTGAGATGGTATCTCAATGTTGTTTTGATTTGCATTTCTCTGATGACCAGTGATGATGAGCATTTTTTCATATGTTTGTTGGCCTCACATATGTCTTCTTTTGTAAAGTGTCTGTTCATATCCTTTGCCCACTTTTGAATGGGCTTGTTTGTTTTTTTCTTTTAAATCTGCTTTAGTTCTTTGTAGATTCTGGATATCAGCCCTTTGTCAGATGGGTAGACTGCAAAAATTTTTTCCCATTCTGTTGGTTGCCAATTCACTCTAATGACTGTTTCTTTTGCCATGCAGAAGCTGTGGAGTTTGATTAGGTCCCATTTGTCTATTTTGACTTTTGTTGCCAATGCTTTTGGTGTTTTGGTCATGAAGTCCTTGCCTACACCTATGTCCTGAATGGTTTTGCCTAGATTTTTTCCTAGGGTTTTTATGGTGTTAGGTCTTATGTTTAAGTCTTTAATTCATCTGGAGTTAATTTTAGTGCAAGGTCTCAGGAAGGGGTCTGGTTTCTGCTTTCTGCACATGGCTAGCCATTTTTCCCAACACCATTTATTAAACAGGGAATCCTTTCCCCATTGCTTGTTTTTGTCAGGTTTGTCAAAGATCGGATGATTGTAGATATGTTGTGTTGCCTCCAAGTCCTCTGTCCTGTTCCATTGGTCTATAGCTCTGTTTTAGTACCAGTATCATGCTGTGTTGATTACTGTAGCCTTGTAGTATAGTTTGAAGTCTGATAGTGTGATGCCTCCCGCTTTGTTCTTTTTGCTTAGAATTGACTTGGCTATGCGGGCTCTCTTTTGGTTCCATATGAAGCTTAAGGTGGTTTTTTTCCAGTTCTGTGAAGAAGGTCATTGGTAGCTTGATGGGGATAGTGTTGAATCTGTAAATTATTTTGGGCACTATGGCCATTTTCACGATACTGATTCTTCCTAACCATGAACATGGAATGTTTCTCCATCTGTTTGTGTTCTCTCTTATTTCCTTGAGTAGTGGTTTGTAGTTCTCCTTGAAGAGGTCCTTTACATTCCTTGTGAGTTGTATTCCTAGGTATTTTATTCTCTTTGTAGCAATTGTGAATGGCAGTTCGTTCTAGAATTGGCTATCTTTGAGTCCATTATTGGTGTATAAGAATGCTTGTGATTTTTGCACATTGATTTTGTATCCTGAGACTTTGCTGAAGTTGCTTATCAGTTTCAGGAGATTTGGGGCTGAGACGATGGGGTCTTCTAGATATACAATCATGTCATCTGCAAATAGAGACAATTTGACTTCCTCTTTTCCTATTTGAATACCCTTTATTTCTTTTTCTTGCCTGATCGCTCTGGCTAGAACTTCCAGTACTATATTAAATAGGAGTGGTGAGAGAGGGCATGCTTGTCTAGTGCCAGATTTCAAAGGGAATGCTTCCAGTTTTTGCCCATTCAGTATGATATTGGCTGTTGGTTTGTCGTAAATAGCTTTTATTATTTTGAGATACGTTCTGTCAATACCTAGTTTATTGAGGGTTTTTAGCATAAAGTGCTGTTGAATTTTGTCAAAGGCCTTTTCTGCATCAATTGAGATAACCATGTAGTTTTTGTCTTTGGTTCTGTTTATGTGGTGAATTACGTTTATAGACTTGCGTATGTTGAACCAGCCTTGCATCCCCAGGATGAATCCTACTTAATCATGGTGGATAAGCTTTTTGATGTGCTGTTGCAATCGGCGTGCCAGTATTTTATTGAAGATTTTTACATCTATGTTCATCATAGATATTGGCCTGAAGTTTTCTTTTCTTGCTGAGTCTCTGCCAGGTTTTGGCATCAGGATGATGTTTGTTTCATAAAATGATTTGGGAAGGATTCCCTCTTTTTGGATTGTTTGGAATTGTTTCCAAAGGAGTGGTACCAGCTCCTCTTTGTATGTCTGGTAGAATTCGGCTGTGAACCCATCTGGACTTTGGCTTTTTTTGTGTGGTAGGCTCTTAATTGCTGCCTCAACTTCAGACCTTGTTATTGGCCTATTCAAGGTTTCGACTTCTTCCTGGTTTAGCTTGGGAGGATGCAAGTGTCCAGGAATTTATCCATTTTTTCCAAGTTTACTAGTTTATATGCGTAGAGTTGTTTGTTATAATCTCTGATGATGGTTTAAATTTCTGTGGAATCTGTGGTGATATCCCCTTTATCGTTTTTTATTGCATCTATTTGATTATTTTCTCTTTTCTTTTTTGCTAATCTGGCTAGTGGTCTATTTTGTTGATCTTTCCAAAAAACCAGCTCCTGGATTTATTGATTTTTTGAAGGGTTTTTTGTGTCTCTATCTCCTTCAGTTCTGCTCTGATCTTAGTTATTTCTTGTCTTCTGCTAGGTTTAGAGTTTTTTTGATCTTGCTCCTCTAGCTCTTTCTATTTTGATGATAGGGTGTCAAATTTTGATCTCTCCTTGCTTCTCATGTGGGCATTTCTTGCAATATATTTCCCACTAGAGACTGCTTTAAATGTGTCCCAGAGATTCTGGTATGTTTTGTCTTTGTTCTCGTTGGTTTGGAAGAACATCTTTATTTCTGCCTTCATTTCATTGTTTATCCAGTCAACATTCAACAGCCAGTTGTTCAGTTTCCATGAAGCTGTGCAGTTCTGAGTTTCTGAATTCTGAGTTCTAACTTCATTACACTGTGGTCTGAGAGACTGTTTCTTATGATTTTTGTTCTTTTGCGTTTGCTGAGGAGTGATTTACTTCCAATTATGTGGTCAATTTTAGAGTAGGTGCGATGTGGTGCAGAGAAGAATGTATATTCTGTGGATTTGGGGTGGAGAGTTCTGTAAATGTCTATTAGGTTTGCTTGGTCCAGGTCTGAGTTCAAGTCCTGGATATCCTTGTTAATTTTCTGTCTCGCTGATCTGTCTAATATTGACAATGGGGTGTTGAAGTCTCCCACTATTATTGTGTGGGAGTCTAAGTCTCTTTGTAAATCATTAAGAACTTGCCTTATGTATCTGGGTGCTCCTGTATTAGGTGCATATATATTTAGGATCATTAGCTCTTCTTGTTGCATTGATCCTTTTACCATTACGTAATGTCCTTCTTTGTCTCTTTTGCTCTTGTTGGTTTAAAGTCTATTTTATCAGAGACGAGAATTGCAACTCCTGCTTTTTTTTGCTTTCCATTTGCTTGGTAAATCTTCCTCCATCCCTTTATTTTGAGCCTTTGTGTATCCTTGCATGTGAGATGGGTTTCCTGGATACAGCACACCAATGGGTTTTGGCTTTTTATCCAATTTGCCAGTCTGTGTCTTTTGATTGGGGCATTTAGCCCATTTACATTTAGGGTTAATATTGTTATGTGTAAATTTGATCCTGCCGTTTTGATGGTAGCTGGCTGTTTTGCCCATTAGTTGATGCAGTTTCTTCATTGTGTTGATGCTCTTTACCATTTGGTACGTTTTTGGAGTGGCTGGTACTGGTTGTTCCTTTCTATGTTTACTGCCTCTTTCAGGAGCTCTTGTAAAGCAGGCCTGGTGGTGATGAAATCTATGAGTACTTGCGTGGTCACAAAGGATTTTATTTTTCCTTCACTTATGAAGCTTAGTTTGGCTGGATATGAAATTCTGGGTTGAAAGTTCTTTTCTTTAAGGATTTTGAATATTGGCCCCCACTCTCTTCTGGCTTGTAGGGTTTCTGCTGAGAGATCTGCTGTGAGTCTGATGGGCTTCCCATTGTGGGTTTCCTGACCTTTCTCTCTGGCTGCCCTTAGCATTTTCTCCTTCATTTCAACCCTGGTGAATCTGACGATTATGCGCCTTGGCGTTCCTCTTCTTGAGGAATATCTTTGCGGTGTTCTCTGTATTTCCTGGACTTGAATATTAGCCTGCCTTGCTAAGTTGGGAAATTTTCCTAGCTAATATCCTGAAGAGTATTTTCCAGCTTGGATTCATTTTCTCCGTCACACTCAGGTACACCTATCAAACATAGATTAGGTCTTTTCACATAGTCCCATATTTCTTGGAGACTTTGTTCGTTCCTTTTTACCGTAAAATTTTTCTTAACTGAGAACTTCATCGTTATATGCCACAAATAATCAAAATGTAAGAGAATTCTGAAGTTCCAACTTATAATTACATCTTTTAGATGCCTTTTCAGTTCTTTTTTGTCATGGCAAAAATCTAGGATTTGAACCTAGATCATTCCAGAGTCCACTATTTAATCACTAGTTTACACTGCCTCTATACTTTAAAAAAAAAAAATTAGGAAGGGTCCCTAAACAGTAAACTCACAATCTGCACATTTATAACATGTACCTAGTCAAGGAAAATTAGTGGATATGCATAACTCTATAGAGTTTTTCCTTTATTACTTTGTTCAAAATATACATTAATAAAATATATATTAATCTTTTTTAAATTTGATATTTCAAAAAATTGTGGACTCAAACACGTGACTATCATAGAGGGATGATACCAGGAGCATTATATCGAGACTTAAGAGAGACTTTATCACTAGTCTGTATTTATTATATATAAAATACATATGTATATATGTATACCTAGGCAGATATATACTGTTTTGGGTTTAGTAAAGTAGACATGGGTTCTACTTTAATGCCCTGTGCCACTCATTTAGCTGTATGACCCTGGGCAAGTCACATAAGTTTCTGTAGCTCTTAATTCTCCTCAAGTTATGGCTAAAAATTACCTAATTTTATTTCTAAATAATTTTACCTGTCCCTATGTTGCTATATCTGGCACTTTTTAGTAAAGGCTGATGCAATGTAACTTTCAATAATCTTTATTAAAAACTGTATATTAAGATTTCAGTTACTTGGTTCATGCTATAAGAATCACTTCCTTATATTTTCTCAACTGCCATCAAAAGAGGGAAGCATATGCACCTCGGATATTCTTTGAGGCTTCCAGACCTCCTTGGTTTACTCCCAGATCACAGCAAGACTGTTCTGAATACCTCAGATTTCTCCTTGACAGGTAAAAAGTATTCTTAAAATCATGATTTGAATGTTGTCTTTCATAACAGTTTAATTCTACTTAATATTGTTTTTACCTTTAAAAACATATTTCAAATGTTACTCTTTAAAATACCATTGCATTTCTTGTATTTTTTTTATGTTTTCTTTTGTTTTTAATTTGTTTTCTTTTTTGAATTTTCTTCCTTGAGACCGGCTGTTCTCAAAGTGTGATACAAGGACCCCTGCGGGTTCCCAAACACTTTCAGGAGTCTGTGAGGTCTTCTCTTTTCCAACAACATAATTGTGTGAGGCCAGATTTTCTTTATATCCTCCATCCAAAAAAACATATAACAATAGAATGTAGACATATGAGGCTCCAGCTGTCTTCTATTAAGCCAGATACTTAAAATATTTACAAAATGTAAAACACTGCCGTTCTTGCTTTTTTTGTTTTAAAAAATATAACTTTTTCATTTTTAAAATGTTATTAATATTAAATAATGGGTTTATTATTGTTAAATGTTAATGTTTTATTTTCTCAGTTCTGACAGTAAATATCAATAGATATAACCTATATAAAGGAAAGCTCTTTGTTTTTTAATTATTTGTAAGAGTATAAAGGGGTCCTGGGACCAAAAAATTTAAGATCCACTCTTTTAGACTAGTTCATAATTGTATGGGTTTGATATATTTTATTGTCACCTGACCACTTAATTAATAAAACCTGTTATCTGTTATCTTCCTGTCTTTGTTCTACTGTGTGGAATGAAGTTATTTGGGCTCGGTATGTGTAGCTTTCCTTCCATTCAGCTAAGAATCTATTCAGTGGTTTCTTTGTGCCTGACTTTCTATGAGATGTCAGGAAGACAGATATATAAGACAGTTAAGGAACATTTATAATTAACTGTAATGTAATAAGTTCTATTAAGTAGCAGTATGAAGAAGGTGTAATGAGAATATAGACTAGTAATAGCCACTTAGCTATTTTTTCTGCATTCTGAAACTGTTCAATTTGTTTTTAATTAAAACAGGAATAAAACCTGATTTGTTTATCTTAAGCATTAAATTTGATTAAAACAGTTTATGGAAGCCACTAATATTTTTAAATAGAAATGACATTTGAAGTTAATTTAAGTAACTATATAATGATATACTCTCCTGCAGGCTCCATGAAGAAGAAAAGATCTTAAGAGTTCAGTCCTCACACAAGGCTTCTGAAATTCTGGAATGTAGTGAAACTTCTTTACAGGAAGTAACTAGTAAAGCAGCTGTACTAACAGAGACCCCTTGTACAAGTGATGGTGAGAAGACTTTAATAGAAAAAATGTTTGGAGGAAAACTACGAACTCACATATGTTGTTTGAACTGCAGGAGTACCTCACAAAAAGTGGAAGCCTTTACAGATCTTTCTCTTGCCTTTTGTCCTTCCTCTTTGGAAAACATGTCTTTCCAAGATACGGCGTCATCACCCAATGCACAAGATGGTGGTCTGATGCAAGCCACTATACCCAGTCCTTCAGAAGAACCAGTAGTTTATAATCCAACGACAGCTGCCTTTATCTGTGACTCAGTTGTGAATGAAAGAACCATAGGCAGTCCTCCCGATGAGTTTTACTGTTCTGAAAACACTTCTGTCCCTAATGAATCTAACAAGATTCTTGTTAATAAAGGTGTACCTCAGAAAACAGGAGGTGAAACCACACCTTCAGTAACTGACTTACTAAATTATTTTTTGGCTCCAGAGATTCTTACTGGTGATAACCAATATTATTGTGGAAACTGTGCCTCTCTGCAGAATGCTGAGAAAACTATGCAAATCACGGAGGAACCGGAATACCTTATTCTTACTCTCCTGAGATTTTCATATGATCAGAAGTACCATGTGAGAAGAAAAATTTTAGACAATGTATCACTGCCACTGGTTTTGGAGTTGCCAGTTAAAAGAACTACTTCTTTCTCTTCACTGTCAGAAAGTTGGTCTGTAGATGTTGACTTCACTGATATTAGTGAGAACCTTGCTAAAAAATTAAAGCCTTCAGGGACTGATGAAGCTTCCTGCACAAAATTGGTGCCCTATCTATTAAGTTCTGTTGTGGTTCACTCTGGTATATCCTCTGAAAGTGGCCATTACTATTCTTATGCCAGAAATGTCACAAGTACAGAGTCTTCATATCAGATGTGCCACCAATCTGAAGCTCTGGCATTAGCATCCTCCCAGAGTCATTTACTAGGGAGAGATAGTCCCAGTGCAATTATCGAACAGGATTTAGAAAATAAAGAAATGTCAAAAGAATGGTTTTTATTTAATGACAGTAGAGTGACATTCACTTCATTTCAGTCAGTCCAGAAAATTACGAGTAGATTTCCAAAGGACACAGCTTATGTGCTTTTGTATAAAAAACAGAATAGTACTAATGGTTTAAGTGGTAATAACCCAACCAGTGGACTCTGGATAAATGGAGACCCACCTCTACAGAAAGAACTTATGGATGCTATAACAAAAGACAATAAACTATATTTACAGGTAAGTTGGAATTATAAGCTTTGTTATTTGTGGAAAATATTAAATAATTAACAGATAGTTAAATGAGTACCCTAATTTTAAAATCTAACTGATAAGTTTTTATGAAATTCTGAAATTTGATTCTGGATTTATATGACATTCTCAACCTGTAAAATTAAATTGCTTTACTTTCTGATATTGTGACTTAATTTAAATGAAAAGTGGCAATTAGATGTAATGCAGAATGTAACACTTTATGTGTTAATTGCAAACGATGGCTCATTATGAAATCATGCCATACAGAAATATAGAAAGTTTAATAAAGTGGACGTATCCTCCCACTTCACCCACCAGGGGAAGCAACTGCTAAATGTGGTGTTTATACCTGCAAGACCTTTGTGTAAATATTTTAAGAGTCATTTATTGATATTTAGGTGGATAAGATTAAAAAAACACTAAAAGGTAGATTATGTAAAGAAAAGATATTCATATTCTTTGAGGATGTGGGCAGTAAAACCAAGGAGATAATACAATTGTAAATAAAAGCCATGGAATGTTTTTATGTGAGATAAATTTACTCATAAATATACTTCTTTCAAGAAGTTCGTGATTTTATTACTTAAGTTAAGGCTAATAAAAAGTTAAAGTCTTGCTGAAAGAATTTTTTTTTTTTTTGAAGCTTACCAATTTCTCAATATACAGAGCTAACAGTAAATTACAGGTGAAATTCTAGGTATATTAATTGGGTAGTCCAAGTGATTTCAAGTTTTAATGAGTATGTTTTAAAATTTTTGTGTTTGAATGTCACTCCTAAAAAATACAGACAGAGTAAGAAGTGAGCCAATATAATACTGATTTTTAGAGGGAAATTTTCTCAAAAGCTTTCAAATGTACTGCATTATAAAATACTCATCTGACACATTTTTAAAGAAGTATAGCAATGTTCTTGCGTGACACACACAAAAATTAACTTTACGGAAAATAAAAACAAAAATCAGAATATTTGTTTGAACTGATTAACTACTGAAGACTCTAACATCCAGTCAGATGGCTTATGATCAACATACTAGAAATAGAATATATTCAACTGTGTTCTTCCTAGATATCATATAAGCTCTAGTTAGATCTTCACGATTCTTGAAGTTTGAAAAGGTGGAATGAGGAGGAAAGGATTAGTTTGGAATAGAAAATTTCTACAATATAAAAGATAGATACAAGGCCTATTACAGTTTTGACTTTTAGATGATTATGTATCAGTGTTTGAGTGAAATATATTTGTCAAAGGAGAAATACAGGTTTTGAAAGACAAAAAACTACCCTCATTTCTCTGATTAGAATCCCAAATGCTTGTATAGTCAGAGCAACACTTGTTCGTAGCTTAGCTTTTAAGTGATTTTCCAGTTTATCTTGCAGTTTAGGCCGTTACTTTCTGATTATGCAATATTTGAGCATGAGGAACCATCTTTTCATTATTATTTTAAGGCTCTTATGTAACTTTATTATAAAGAAAAAGCATTATGTATTTTGTTAATTCAGTTTTTCAGTGTTATGCAGTTCTAAATTCGATCTTAAGTTTCATATTGACAAGTTGTTTAGTGCAAAAAAAGATACTGCAAAATTTTTAATTAAGGTATCTACGTGTATTAAGACTAGGTAGTAAATCAAAGTTTCATTATCAGAGTACCCTTTGAAAGCAAAATATAATAATAAATATTCAATTTTCTTTTTTTTTTTTTTTTTTTTTTTTTAGACTGTCTCATTCTGTCACCCAGGCTGAGGTGCAGTGGCATGATCGTGGCTTACTGTAGCATTGAACTCCTGGGCTCAAGTGATCCTCCTGCCTCAGCCTCCTGAGTAGCTAAGGAGTACAGGCATATGTCACCATGCCTGGCTAATTTAAAAAAAAAAAAAAAAAAATTTAAGACTATTTTGCTATTTTACCCAGGCTATTCTCAAACTCCTGGGCTCAACCAATCCTTCTTCCTCAGCCTCCCAAAGTGGTGGGCCACTACATGTGGCCCAATAATCAACTCTTAATTAGAAATTTATAATTAAGAGTGTGATTATTTACATTTATTTAGTTTTTGACACAGAGTCTCACACTGTCACCCAAGCTGGAGTGCAGTGGTGCGATCTCAGCTCACTGCAAGCGATTCTCAGGTCTCAGCCACCAAAGTAGCTGGGATGACAGGCATACCCCACCATGCCTGGTAAATTTTTTTGTCTTTTTAGTAGAGATGGGGTTTTGCCATGTTGGCCAGGCTGGTTTCAAACTCCTGGCCTCAAGTGATCTGCCCACCTTGGCCTCCCGAAGTGCTAGGATTACAGGCATAAGCCACTGTGTCCAGCCTATTTACTTTTAAAAACAGTGATTGATAAAGGCTTAAATTGTGAAGTTTTTCATACCATTTAATCAGATCATTCTGGTATTTTAAGTGCATGATAAGAGACTACGTTGTTTATTCTGTTATGTGAATGCACACGTGCTCATAATTGCCAGGCAATTGGAAACTATAGTGTTGAGGTTGTGAATACAGCAGTTTTCAGCTATCACTTTTTAGTTTTAAACACATGGATCATGTACATGTGTGTTTTCATTCTGGCTACTATCTTCATTTTTATATCCATTTTTGAGATACAATTATAAAAATATGTCATGCTTCATAATAGATTATCATGTCTGTACTATAGCTTTAAGAAATAGCAGTATACCTATTTATAAAACAGTTATAAAAACTTAAATAGTAAAAATAAGGATGTGAAGTGAACATTTTTATTTCCTCTGCTCTTAAACAGTATTGCTAATCTACCATTTTTGTTCATATCGTGGTAGCTGCTTTCATTTTAGTGTTTCATAATCACAAGAGAAACTCACCTTGTGACAATTTTAAGGAGTTTTTTTTAGGATTTCATTTTTAAATTTTAGTATTTTATTTTTCAATTTTAAACCTAGCCACAACCAGATTTACAAGTGTTAGAAAATGTTGCTCTTTTGAGTATTGGCAAGATCCATAGTTTTTAAAAACCTAGGCAAAAAATCTTTTATGACAAACCATTTTCTACTCTGTGTATCATTGCCTGACATTTGAGAAAACAATACAAATTGTGAATCTCGAAGTAAATTTTTGAAAGGGATTTTTTCTTCATATATTTATTTCCCTTCAGTCCAGCTTCCATTAGGAGTATCACTATTGTTTTAGTGTCTGGATTACAAAAACTATGCCTTTGGTTAGGATCCAGTGAGAGATTGTGTAATGCATCATCATTGCATTGTCCAGATTCTTCACTCATCTATCCTGCATCAGCCACAGACTGCTTCCCATCTTTTCTTGCTTTATTTCTTTCCTTTGTTTCTTTGAAGGAAGTGGTAGTTTAACTTCTTTTTTTTCTTTTTCATACATTCAGAAGAGTATATTCAATATACATATGTGTACAGTTTAAAGAAAAATAAAAGGATTAATGCCAACAGTTTTACTTGAATGAGATATATTGAAAATTATTTGTCTTAAGGAGCAGTAACTTTTCTGTGACTAGACCTGTAGTCTACTGAAATTAGAATTAACTTTAGTACTTGATATAAATTACACATTCTATGATAATCATAATTTTGGCATTGTATACAATGTTGTTACCTATATTAAGTAAAATGAAAGACAGTTTTTCCTATTTTTATCCACTGTCTAAGTTTATTGTCAGAAAACAGAATACCACACATTTTTTCTGTCAGCCGTATACTTCTATAAATAATAAAGCAGAAAAGGAATATTTCTTTTTTGGGATGCTGTATATCTTGAAATACAATATAGGTTTCATGGGTACAGATGCAATGGAGTTACTAATTTTGTATTTTATGTCATTCGACATAGTTTCTGAAAGGGAATCACTGTATAAAAATGTCTATGCAAAATTTGCCATATTTTTTAGTAGCAGAAGTTCAGGCTGAACTTCTTGAGCTCTACCTTACATGTTTGTTAAGTTTTAATTTATTAGGGAACATCATCTATATATCTGAAACCGTGTATTGTTTCTCAGATATAGAGTCATAGTTTCATTTCTTGTTTGGATAATTTAATACATTAGAGAGCTAGAACAACGAGGATTGGCGGGGGTTGTGTGTCTGTTTCTGATGTTACTTATGGCACTTATTTTAAATCTGTAAAACATTTGTAATTCTTTAATTTTATAGATGAAAGGATAAATTAATATATATATCACCTTTAAAATACTGTGTAGGTAGACATTATACCAAAGAGCCAGCAATTACAAATGTAAATGACGCAGTAGATTACAAAGGTTTTTTTCAGAAATATTTTGCCAATTAAGTTTTAAAAGCTCTATCAGAGACTGGTTAGTTAAGCCACTTTGTTACAAGGATTTAGCAAAGGTCCCTTTCAGCCATAGAAATAGGTGATTCTTGATGATTTTGTGTACTGAGACTTGAACAGAAGGTCCTGTATTCCACTGAAAAAATAAGGTATCCATAATGTGAGGGATAAGTGTTAGGGTATGCCTGGGTCTTTTCTTCACAATGAAAATTTGAGCATTTTGTGAAAGGGGAAGAATAGTTGACTAAATCATTTTAGCTAGAAATTATAAAATAATATTACCTTGCCAGGTGGAACAAAGTCACTAGGCATTAAATTGAAAAATTGAAATAATAAAATTTTTGTTATTAATGTTAACTGTATTTTAAAAGCCCTTCAGGCTGCTTATGCTAACAAGTTCAGGGGTATCCTGTGACCAGTAACTTTTAAACCTTATTTTCACCAACTCCATTTGAAATCTGTAGATCCTCTCCCAGAAAAATAGGCACATGCCAGAATATTTTGCATATTTTCCAAAGAGTTTGTGGGTCCCCAGTTTTAGAATACAGTTGTACACCTTGCCAAATGAATCTGCCATTATTTATTCACATTTGCCCCCTGTGAAGCTAAGCACCTAATACTATTCTAATCTGAAATCATTAATATTTATTGAGTACCCAATATATGCCTGGCATCTAGATTAATATAACTGATTTCTGATAAAAAGTTTTCCAGATAAGGAAAAGTTTTAGATATTACTGTAAGGAGGTAGGCTTCATTTTACTTGTCAGTGTTTTTTGAGACTAGTCTTATTGTTCATTGAGAAATAGTCTATGGAAAGGGTAGAAAAAAATTCAGTCTTCTTCCTTTATCCATACCTTTAACTGTTATCACCCACTTCCAAAATAGCCTCAATTGCTGGAGAATAATCTATTGTGATAATCTTTGAATTCTATGTTAAATATACTAGAAAACAATCTATTCCAATATGTTTTAGAGAGTGTTGCAGGAACTGTAATATTTTCTTAGAGAAATTTTTTTTCTTAGGTGCTTTAATTTCAAAGTTACTAAGATTTGAAGAATGCTTATAAGGATTAACGTAGTTTAAAATATTTCTGTAGGTGATATAACCATCCATTGTATTTAGCATTTTAATTTTATAAAAATTATTTTTAATTTTAGGAGCAAGAGTTGAATGCTCGAGCCCGAGCCCTACAAGCTTCATCTGCTTCTTGTTCATTTCGGCCCAATGGATTTGATGACAATGACCCACCAGGAAGCTGCGGACCAACTGGTGGAGGGGGCGGAGGAGGATTTAATACAGTTGGCAGACTCGTATTTTGATCCTTAGAGAGTCCAAAATGCACTGGTCACGAAACGTCTAATACTATGACTGTTAAAATGTCAAGACTATAGCAAATATCTATCTTTTATTTTTCATTAGACCCTTAAACTTCAAGAGAACACGCTCAGTGCTTGTTTTTATTTTCTTGACACATTTATTAACAAAATGCATCATGGAAAAAAAAAATCTACCTCTTAAAATTCCATTTGCTTTTATGGTTAGACATGCTTGACCAAAAATGTTCAGAAGAAAATATGTACCCGGTCCCTAATTAAGCTGCATTAAATTTGGTAGAAGCATTTAAATGGTCTATCTTCAGTTTTACTGAACAAAAAATGTAATTTATTTAGCATTCTTTATAAAAGAATTGATGCTAGAGGTAAGAAAATAATTGTTTTTTAAAAAATCCTTTATGTCTTCTGTAATTACCCCATTATTAAATTCAAGTCTTTGAAAATCAACTAGAGATGATAAAATCTCTAAAGAAGGCAATAACAAAATTTATCAAGATATCGTACTTTTCAGTTTTTGTTTAGTGTCTTCAGCATCACTGTATCTGCATTTTAAGTGCAAATGTTTTTAAAAAGGATTCTTTAGACATATGTGCTGAATTGATTTTAAGAAAGTTGCATGATCCTGTAGGAGCAACATTTTTACCTAAAAAATGCTAACTTTGTAGTATTTCTAATTGTTCAAGGATTTTAAAATTCTATTTCAGGGAGTATATCTTCTGTGTGTTTTGAAGGAGGTGAGTTCTGTATGTGCCTTGCAGTACTGTAATTCAAAAATAGGAATCTTTGGCTGCAAAATGTTTTTTAAAAATGAAATGTTAGGAAGTAATTTTTGTGCTAACATTAAAATTATAACTTTTGAAAGGAATTAGATTTTCCAGAAGTAAAATCTGATGGTTCTAAATCAATGAGTGTGATACTTCATTTTTAACTCTCAGAAGAATTCAGAGTAAATGAATCCAGCTAAGTAAAAAATCTTTCTTGATTTTGTTACTTATGCCTCAGAATATTAAACATTGATCACATATTTTTAGAGTTGTACATTTGAGTTTTTTGTTTGTTTGTTTCAGTCATATGTTTTGCACATTTATTTCTGTTTTCACAGTTTTAGATAAAATGTTAAAATGCCAAACCCTACCGTCCTATACTTTCTATTGCCAGGAAACTGGAAACATGTCATTTCTCCTGAGTCTGGATTATACAGTACTCAAGAGTTATCCCAGTTATCCCCTTCCTAAAGGTTTTAACTTATCCACAGTTGTGCATTGTTCTAAAGATTGGTCTCATTTATTTTGAAAACATTTTAAGGAAAGAATGTTCTTGGGTGATTTGGAGTTTATCTTTTTCCCAAGCTTTTATGGAAGTGGTTAAAAAACAGAAATCCTCATGTTTATTCCACTACCTCCCATTCCTAACCTGTTTCTAGTCACCGGGAAGATTAGGAAAGCAGGTTAGACTAAAAACTGAAAATTATTTGCAGATTTAATCAAGGTTCTCCTCCTTATAAATGAATGAACGAGTTATCATGCTTTTCTGTGATCTTCCATTCCCAATAGTGAATTTCTGAACTACCCTGTGTATTCAGTTATCCACTTAATAGTAACTTATGATCAGATTATATCAGTCTTGGCATTTATTGAAATTGGTAAAGTCATTTAATACTTGGTAGATTGATACTGGGCTAAGATGCTTCTAGGAACTTTCATAAAAGCAATTAGACTTACACAGCTTTATCTGTGAATATCAGGTCTCTCAAGGATTTTATGTATCAAGATAATATATATTGACTTTTTAAAATGATAAAATGAATTCTAGTTAGTATCTGCTGTGGACTGGTTCCAGAACGCCATACCCTGATATTGAAATCCACAGATGCTCAAGTTCCTTATATAAAATAGCACAGTATTTGCATATAACCAATGTACATCCTCCCATATTCTTTAAATAATCTCTAGATGATTAGATGTGATTGCATAGCACTTACATTGTGCTATGTAGTTGTTATACTGTATTGTTTTTTCATTTGTATTATCCTTTATAATATTTATTGGTTTTTTAAACTTTCTATCCAAAGTTGTCTGAATCCACAGATACAGAGCCTGAGGATTTGGAAAGCTGACTGAATGTAGTAACTGAGAGTATTCAAATGATAACTTTATACCAATACCAAAAATTTGAAGACTTCCTTTTAACATTAAAAATATAGTAACCTTTTAAATTATTTGTTGAATTAAACATATGTGGAACCAGAATAATCAGAAGCTTCATTCAAAACCTATGCAGCTGAACTTTTTTTAGTAAGGTAATACTCAGGACTGCTCTGATTCTAACAGATCCCTGTTACTTCATTACAGATTTATTTGTCATATTAGGTTTTTTATTTCTCCTGTATTTCTAACCCTTGTACTTAGCTCCAATTCTAGGAAATACTGTTGTGAGGTTTGATTCTGAAGACTGAGTAGAGTACAATTGCTGTTTGTCTTTCCTTTAGTCCAAAGTAATCAGTTTAAATGAAGTTGCTCATTGCTGCTAAGAAGCATTAGGCTTCACTGTTAGCAAAAATGAAAAACTATAAATCTCAGTTTGTTTCTTTCAAAGATGTTTATTGACACATTTGAAAAAGTAAAAAATTGTTTAGAGATATGCAGAGAGGGAAATATATATGATGTCAAACAAACCCCGGTAACCTAGTCACTAAGCAGTTGCCTATGCAACTCTGACTTACAGCATTAACATATCTCAAATTGGAGGAAGGATTCTAGTTCATTCTCCAAGCATCTTCCCACTGCCTCTCTTCCAGCTAAATAATCAGAGAAGCGGGGCAACATATACCTGGAGAACCCTGACTTTTGTTTCCATATCTTAAATTATTGGTAGATCCTTTGGATTTAGAGATAAAAATCCATTATGATGTCTAGAGGTATTGGGGGGTCCATGTGAAAGGTTCAAACAGCACAGCTGGAAAGAATAAAAATATTTCAAGCTAAGTCTTAAGTTTAAATCATGTTTTTTTCTCTTTAGTTCTGTTCTTTGTATCATAATATTATTTACAAAGGTAGTTGTTTTCTTTTAACATACTACCTCTTTAAAGCTATTCTCTTATAAGTGGGGTTGGATGCTTATTGTGTGCCCAGCACAGTTTAGGAAAAAAATAATTGGCATAATTTGTCCAGTTACTGGAAGTCTTCATTTTGCTGCTGTGTACTTAGCTCCAGGTTTTAATTCTCTGTCTATCTTTTCCTATGATTGTGTACTTCATAAAATATATTCCATATAAAGAGCACTTTTAAAATGAGTATTTCAAAAATACTGTACATTTATATATTTTTCTCTCATGAAAATGCTGTAGTTTATATATCATTTCGTCATTCATTTTTTCTAAAGAGTTTAGATTTCTAAAACTAAATAGTCCTGAGGTGGAGAAGAGTAAGTTATTCACATTTTATAGAAAACTTACTAGGAAATGCTAACTGGTTGTCATTAGCAACTGAGTGACATCATCCAGAAGAGTAAGGTTAAATCTTGGATAATGCAAACCTGTAACTAGGAAGTTAAAGTACAATAGTAAGGAAATGTGAATTAAAAGTTGTTATCCCAAAGAAACAAATAATTCTAAAATATAAGCTATAAGCTATTTCCTTTGTATATTCTTAAGCTTTATCAAACTTCCATGTCTTCAGTGTTAGCCTACGTTAATTTTTTAAGAGTCCTTTTTTAGAAGTGAACAAACCTCAAAAAGAATGGGGGATTAAAAAAAAAAACACTGCTTTAAAAAAACTAGCTTGTTTAAAAAAAAGCTTTCTCATATGAAGAAGTTTGGAATAATAATTATAGAAATAATTTTTAAAGAAATGAGAATCAAGATTTTTATAAAATCAACAATCTAGGTTTCACAAATTCAAAAGGATTTATTATGTAAAACCACTAGCCCAGTTACATAACCAGAGTGGACTTAATATTAAAAATAGAATCTAAGAAGTCAGCCAAGTGTATTGCCAGCTCTCGTCAGTGTCTGTTACGACCTGCAGTTGTTTTTCTCTCCATGGATCTCATGTTTTCATGTTTTGCTTGTGTTGTTGAAACACACACAGACACCCCTTGATTTCAGAGGGTGAAAAATTTAGGCTTTCCTGGCCAGATCATCAGTTTTTATCCTTGCATTTCATGTTAAAATGACTTGAAGAGCATTTTTTAAAATAATACTATGTCCAAGCCTCATCCCAGACCTATTACGTTAATGTGGAGACTGGGCATCAACATTTTTGAAGTGCCTCACGTGATTTTAATGTGTCACCTGGGTTGAGAACTAACTGGACTACATAAGGAATTTTTTCCCCTCGTAGGTCTTTCTTTCAAGTGTATTATCAGTGTATGCTGAGAGTCTACCATGTGCTGGATGCTGGCAGATATTTATGTGTCTTTTTAACTTATACCAGCCCTGTAAGTGCGCTCATACCCATATCCTCCCTCACACCTTAATGGGGAAAGAAAATAGATTCCAATTAAAGAACTTGCTCAATGTCACACACCTAGTAAAAATCAGAACTAAGATTTTAACCCAAGTCTTCAGAACTCCAAAGTCAATACTCTAATAAAGCAATAGGACTTAAACAAATTACATATTAACAAAAGCTTAATGAATTTTATAAAATGAAATCTCAGTGTATTTCACTTATCCTTTTGCACTCCAAACATGATTCTTTAAGAAAAATAAAATCTACTTTGTTCAAACCTATATGTGATAATACAAAGGGTTGAGAAATGTGGTTGTTAACAAACTCATTTGTTAAACCCATCTAGTTTCTGCTTGCTTTACTAGCCTTATCTCTTCCATTCTTGCCTTTATGTCCTCTCTCATGCATATTGGACCTTACATCATTTTTATTCACACAGCACCATATACTTGCCATCTCAAGACCTTTGTACATGCAGGTCTCAGGATAGCATACCATTTGCCTCACCCTACTTTTTCTTCCCAGCTTTCAGCTGACTAATTGCCTCTCACTCTTCAGTATGTTCATATCTTCTCATACTGACCTCCCAAACTGATTAGTCCCCCCACCTTTATCCTGGGTTATGTACTGTGGTTCCCTTTGAGAAGGCCATGGCTTAGCAGTGGGGCTAAATTAGCACTGGAGTTAAGGCCAATTCTTTACAGTGTAAAGTTTATCCAACGAAGATTAAAAGTAGGTCTTAAAAGGATCAAATTCTAATGCTGGTTAAATTCTTTAATTTATCTGCATACAGGACAAAGTGCAACCCTCTTTAAAGAAATGCAGGCCAAGCACAGTGGCCCATGCCTATAATCTCAGCACTTTGAGGGGCCGAGGCAGGCAGATCACGAGGCCAGGAGTTGGAGACCAGCCTGGCCAACATGGTGAAACACTATATCTACTAAAAATACAAAAATTAGCTGGACATGGTGGCATGCATCTGTAGTACCAGTTACTCAAGAGGCTGAGGTAAGAGAATCGCTTGAACCCAGGAGCAGAGGTTGCGGAGAGCCAAGATCGTGCCACTGCACTACAGCCTGGGTGACAGAGCAAGATTCTGTCTCAAAAAAAAAAAAAAAAAAAAATGCAGTATACATAGCCAGCATTTAAGAAAGTAAAATTTACAATATCCAGCAGCTGGATATTGTAAAAAGTATTGATCAAAAAGTACGAGGCATTCAAAGGAGGAAAATCCAGAAATTATGGTAAGAAGGGAATTTGTGAAGTAGGAACTTAAAAGGAATCTAAAGAAAATTACGAGCACGATGAAGAAAAAAATGGAACATCCAAGAGTTAATTATCTAAGAGAAAATTAAAAGCACCCAGGGGAAAATATAAGATCAGCAAACAATACCCAGCACACAGGCCAAGTCTATCCTGCATCCTGTAAGTTTTATTGGAACATTGCTATACCTGTGACATGTTGTGTATGACTATTTTTACACTACAATGGTAGAGCTGAGTAGTTGTGACAGAGACTATATGTATTAGTTTGGTCTCGTACTGCTGTAAAGAACTGCCCAAGTCTAGGTAATTTATAAAGAAGAGGTTTAATTGACTCACAGTTCTGCATGGCTTGGGAGGCTTCAGGAAACTTACAATCATGGCAGAAAAGGAAGCAGACACTACAACGTGGCAGGCAAGAGACAGCAGGGAAAACTACCTTATAAAACCATTAGATCTCATAAGAACTCCCTATCCTAAGAACACCATGAGGGAAATCATCCCCATGATCCAATCACCTCCCACCAGGATCCTCCCTCAATACCTGGAAATTAAATCCAAGATGAGATTTGGGTGGGAACACAAAACCTAACCATATCACCATATGGCCTGCAAAGCCTAAAATATCTACTATGGCAGACAAAAAAACTCTGATCCATGATATAGAGAAACAAAAGACTAGTCATTTTATCAGAATATGAAAGACAGAAGGATAGTGGAATGGCATCTAAAAAGTACAGAAGCAGAAAAAAAAATGTCAACCTAGTGAATATTCACTATATCCAGTGAATATTCGTTCAACATGAAGGTGAAATAGATATTTTTAGACAAAAGCTGAGGGAATTTTTTTTCTTGAATATTTGCACTACTAGATAGGTTAAAATTCTTCAGGCTGAAGAGAAAAAACATACCAGATGGAAACTTGGATCTATAAAAAGGAAAGAAGGTTTGGAAATGGATTTGATGCCACTGACTCAATTTACAAAACAAGAAAGCAAGGACAGTTTTGGGAAGCTTAAGACACACTGTGCCCATGAGCAGCAATTTGGACCTTCTGCTCCATCCACTGTGCATCAAATGTACACTGAACAGACAAAGAGCCCCAGTAAAAGTATAAACATGAACTAACACAGAGGTGGGCAAACTACAGCCTCTGACCCAGCCACCTGTTTATGTAGAATCCAAAATAAGAATGTTTAACAGACACACAAACTTCTAGAATTGAATTTAGCAAGTCCCCTAAATACAACAGCAATATACAAAATTCAAGGGTATCTTAATACACCAGTGACAGGTATTTGAAGATGGAATTTTAAAATATTTACAATAATGTAAAAAATCAATTTTTTAGAAATGTAGAAACAGCTTTTTAGAACTAAAAGATGCATAAGATTGCCATGCAATGCCACAAAACATTATTTAGGATATTAAAGAAGACCTAAATAAAACAGCTTGGAAGACTCAATATTATAAATATCTAATTTTTCCTCAAAATAAATAGTTAACTTTTCCTAGTCTATAGAATCAATGCAATCTGAATCTTGGAATTCTATTTTGTATTGAGCTGATTCTGAAGTATAAAGGGGAAAATTCCAAAAATTGTCAAGACTTTCGGAAATAAGGAACAAGGTAGAATGACTTTCTTTACAAGATAAACAAGACTTAGAAAGGTAAAATAATTAAAATGAAGGGACTTATCAGAAACAGGCCCATCCTTGCATGCATATGTAATTTATGACAAAATGGACTGAGACTGTTCCCAGGACATAGAAATTTCAGTTAAAACCAAGAAAGCCTCAGGCAAACTGCAATGACTTGGCACCCTAGACAAAGGTGGCACTTCAAAGCAATGTGAAAAGGATGGTCTTTTCCATAAATTTTAGTGGTACAGTGGGTAATCATGTCAAATAAACTTAACTCTTACTGCACA